AAGTGATCACGGGCACCTTCGTGCCCAGTGAAAGTTTGAACGCTCGTGCTTGGCTAGCGTACAGCGAATGAGGGTGCGCCAAGTCCGTAGACTTGAATCTTTTTCCATCGTAAATAAAATGGTTAATTAATGCCTTCCTAAAGAAACCATGGATATGGGACCAGGTTTGTTCCACTCTATGATTTTTTTGCGATTTTTCCCACCAAGTTTGATGAAAAACGATTGTGCCGTTTTGGCTGCCCAGAACAGACAGACAGACAGACAGACAGACAGACAGACACACGGCTAGTCCTATAGTATATTAGAGGGCCTCTGATACTGACCAGCGTGTGGGCAATTAACGTTAGAGTAGACCATACAGCAGTACACCATAAATCCATTATTGCGAGGTGCATAAGTTTATACAAATAGAAAAAGAGGGATGGAGTTCTTACATGTGAGGAAGGTTAATCTAACTGGAATTTATTTCGTCTACCAATATTCACGCTGTTCTTATGAATATATAACTGTAATATGTTTGTATAGGTGTTCATCACAGAAATTGATCAAGCATAGGGCAAAAGAATCGTGCTCGATGTGTCCACACTATGATACTGTTCTGTTTCTGTACATGGTGATGCCTGCAATACTGACTTTGAATAAATCACATCAGTCTGACGTAGAACTCGAATTATTGTAGCATTTTGTACCTTATAGTCATAGTTGGTTTGATTGCACTGAAAAATTTTTTTTAGTGTCACTTCCTGGACTTTCAGGATATTTAGTAAAGAAAATCACTCACTTGGAAGAGGAGCTACTGTGATGACACACAGACACACACACACACACACAACAGACATACAGACAGACAGACAGACAGACATACAAACACTACTCCGACTACATCAACGCTCTCTCCACCATGGAAATGCCATCCCTCAGTGACCTCCACCACCAAACACTAGCAAGGTTTGGCAGTGGACTACTGCGCCATCCTCGTCATCGCCACCTCCTGCCACCGGCAGTACCCCACCCACCTCGCGCAGTCTGCCACTACAACAAAATTCAGCCCATAAGAGCCCACACCGATAGATATAAGAATAGCACCATCCCATCTATTGTTAAAATAATAAACAACTCCTCATTTATGTACTGTACAGCCCTGTAAATGTATTCAACGCATATCATTATGTCTAAATCAAATGTAAGTTTGTATATTTTCAGCCACCGGCTGCAACTCTATTAATAAACTGTTTATTATTATTATTATTATTATTATTATTATTATTATTATTATTATTATTATTATTATTATTATTATTATTATTATTATTATTATTATTATTATTATTATTATTATTATTATTATTATTACACACACACACACACACTTGTGTCACTTATGTCACTTGAATATTATTTGTAATTCGTAACCCATTCCCCAAATATGTAACTGTATATTTTCAGCCTTCTGGCTGCCAAGCTCTTTCAATAAACCGTTAATTATTATTATTATTTACACACACACACACACACACACACACACACACACACGTGTAATTGTATATTTTCAGCCTTCCGGCTGCCATGCTCTTTCAATAAACCGTTAATTATTATTATTATTATTATTATTATTATTATTATTATTAAATAAGACTATTTCGTTTACCCTTGTCGGGCAACTAGTTGTAAGTGCAGTAGTGTCTTGATCCATATTACATATTATACTATGGAGAGAAATATCTCAATATAGTGTACTCATGGCACTAACACTTCCCCAAGTTCTCAGAAACCCACTTACAGTAAGCTGGAATGTTTCAGTGGACTTATGCAAACGGACAGAAGATGGCTATATTTAGTTCATAAAGTTTACCTAAAGTAATGCTTAAGGAGGAGGCCCAAGAGGTTTGCAAATAAAACTGAATAACGAGTGTGACTTTTCTGCTCTTGGTGGTATGGTGTCAAGTGTTGCTCAACATACTGTAATTGCGCGTTATATATAAATATATATATACAGTATATACAATGCAGGTAAATTCATGCATCCATCTTAAATGACTCCGTCATCTCCTGTACAAATAGATCGAATGATATACCATTAGATTTCCACAATCACAAATCACAAGAGCACCACCAGCAACATAAAGCTGGTCCGTGGCCCCAATATTGAAGTGTTGCGGCGCGCGCCATTACGCGTGATGGCTGCACTCCATAACCCCTCAGGCAACCAGACGAAAGCTTACCTGTACTGGAGCCCTCAGTAATCGGGAAGGTGACGAACAGTGAAGAATCTCCTGTCGACGTTCTATAATGTGTCGAGGTTCTAAAGTGTGCTGACGTTCGCAGGTGTGCTGACATTGAAGGTGGCGGCTTGAAAATGTCTCCTGTCAACGTCTTGGTGAGTTACAGTGTTAGTTTCAAAACCTCGTCAGCATGTCAACAACGTTCTTGTCTGTCACAAAATGTTTGTATCAATAACAATCCTCAAATTAACATCATAATATGAAAACTTCTTAAATATATTGACACCAGTCTTCATTGGCTAGCGTTTTGGATCAATTTCCAGGGCACAACTATTCTGTTAACTAACTGTAGGTCATACGTCAAGGGTCGATAACATATAGCTAAGAGAAATGGGAGTTTAAACCTGTACAAATTTGTTCCTATTAAATTGACATTTGTCTCATGCTCTTACTTGTCTGATTAAAATTATGAAGCCACGTGCTTGTGGCGTTTAACGGTTTAACGCAGTCACACCATGGCGCTCACAACACACAAACACAATCCACAAACACAAACACGGTAAGCGCAATAGTGCATGGCGTGACTGAGTGAAACCCGTCAAACGCCACTGACGGGTCACCTGATACCTGATAACTCAGGATCATGTCACGTGTTTCTGTAACATTAGGCTACATTTATGCAAAATATTTGGTTCCTAACTGATATAGTTTTTAGTTTACGGGAATTATTTAGGTTTTCTCGATTAAAAAAGTCACTCCCCCCCACATACACACACACACACACACACACACACACACATATATATATATATATATATATATATATATATATATATATATATATATATATATATATATATATATATATATATATATATATATATATATATTCGTGTGCCGAATGGTCGGGAGGTATGTAGGTGGACAGTTTAGAGTAGCGTCAGAAAGCGGTTCGGATTTACTGTTCTACAACAAAAGGAATGTTATTCATTGTGTTTCATGTACAGTGATGTATATTATATTTTGTTATGATTGACCACTGCAGCGTTACTTTATGGAATTGTGAAATGATTCAGTAATGGAATCCGCACTTGACTCTCCCTGCTTAATAAATCTATATAACCATAAAGTTTCTGCCATGAAACTATAACTTTGCTGCTTATGGTTGATTTTCAATGGGATGATCAGGCTCTCTGGCGAGTGAAGAAACGAAACGTTAATTTAATCCCAGACAAACTTCTTAGAGATTAGCGCCACTAGTTCTGAACTCTAGGGCTGAATGGGTCTATGGCTATTGGAATGTAACTCATAGTTTAAGAACCACTGATGTAGATCGTTATAATAAATATATATACATGACTAGTTTAATAGGAAACTTAACATAATATTACCTAACCTAACCCAATTGTTAGTGATTCGCTTGTAATGTACACATGGTTTGTGCCTTCTGTACTAAGGACAGGAGTAGCGGGATGAGGGTGTGTTTGCCCGTAACTGGGGGTGGGGGACATAGTAGACAGGATGGACAAATCAGGTCCGGAAATGGGAACATACCCATCATCTGCCTCAGTACAAGAGGCAACGATATTGACAGTAGTAGGAGTGAAGAGCTCCTTGGTAAGTTCAAGGAGCCTGTTGATGGTATTGGGGTGAGGGGAGGGTTTCCTGTCATATTAAATTGTTCTGCTGAGAAGGGGAGTTGGCGGTGGATGGTTGACCAGGGCAGATGTCGTCAACGGCCGTCTGGACAGATAATGCAAGTCAATATTAGTTCCATTTGTTGAACATGGGACAGCTTTTACGCTAATAAGCCAATCATAATCACAACCCCCCATCACACCCACCTAACTAAGACTCAATAGCAGCACACGTTACTTCCGATCGTGGATTACTTAAACGGCGGATTGACGGAATGGAAGGGAGTTGAACGGTGGGTGGTGAATAAAATTGCCGTCAGCCTTAAAACACTGTATAACAAATTCCCAGATCGTTTGGGGCTACCAGGTTATACATACAGTACTCTCCAGTATACAACCAAGTCATATTACTACAACATTTCATGTCCCAAAATTTCAAATAGTGAGTTACTTAATGCACAAAGATGGAATATACTGTATACATAGTAGATAACTTAGTTCAAGTAACATTGACCCCAAAGGGATGAACATTTAATTAAAGATTATTATTGAACAGAAAAAGGGATATACAGGGTGTCCCAAAAAAATGTGCTCACTCTTTGACTGCCCATTACTCATATATTTTTTGTTTTTGTTTCAGGTGCGACTAACCCTAAATAATGTTATTTTCTTTAATTTAACTCATTAGACTTGTATCTATGTCAATAAACACCAAAATCAAAACAAAAAATATATGAGTAATGGGCAGTCAAAGAGTGAGCACATTTTTTTGGGACACCCTGTATATAGAAGGGTCAAACAAGGTGACGTTTATTTAAATGTACCAAACGAAAATATTGACAAGATAAGGCGGAATCACGCTCGCCTGCATTAATTTTCAGGGATATACAGTATAACAACAACATGAGAGGTCGCTGAAAGGCATGATATATACTGTATTATCCTAAGCTGTACTGCAGGATAATTTTATAAGTAACTTACAATCTACAGAGACGGATGAAGTAAACTGAGGTGAACGCATACGACGTGTAGTGACGACCCATAGACACTCTACCGGTAGCGGACGACAACGCGATCTATGGTAGAGGACAAACTGAGCTGTAGTGAAGGACGGAGGATGATCTGTGACCCGAGGAGAGTCATGGCATACCGAAGGATCTGCATTAAAACCTACAGGCATCGTCTGCACTTATACCGTGGTTTCCCAGAGGTGATGGTGCTGTGCTGGGCGGTGATAGCATTGGCTCTGCTAGGTGAGTTACCTGATATCTTGACCTGTGTTGACCATGTGTTAATGTACTTACACACGTGCACACCAGGAGAGTACACAAATAAAACAATTAAACGATTTCAAACAGAAAACGTTGAGGAGAGTAATGTTTAACACGAAGATGAGCAATGATAGAGGTAGGAACGTTAATTCTATATTTACGTATACATCGCTTAAGGAAAATGGACACTGTATATCTGAGTTTTATACCACATTTCAAATCATGTACAGTACATAGAAGGCTCGTATTTCCAGTGTCAATTCTCCTTACAAGTATTTTCAGTATGCTGTTCAAAGTATATTATAAATTTATCTCTGATTCGGTGTAGATACAAACAGTTGTCATTAATTTCATTAAGTATCAACCATTAAACCAGCAGTTGTAAGCAGCTATAATGTATCAGTATAATATAGTGCTCTTTTGTTTGTTTGTGTAGCCATTACTCCGTCATCATGGCTCGCAAGCAGTAGCTGCTGGGTATAGGAGTTCATTATAAAAACGACAATGTCAACATCGCCGCTCTTACCAGGTGATAAACGTGATAAACTATACCAAGAATACGATATGACACATTTTGTCCAACCGATAATCACAAGAGATACTTTACTGAAACAAATTCAACATCGTAATGCTGCTACTACTATTAATAATAATAACACTAATAATAAATTGCTAAAAGGCACATACAGTATGCTCAGGGCGGAGTACACACGGATCTACTTATTGCTATTGCATCATTGATTCAACAATAAATGGAAAAAAAACATACTTAGCCATATCTGTTGACTTGTATCGATGGGCAATTTTAACATTCCTTTCAAATCAATCTTTAAAGCATCCTGTAACGTCTGCAACAATAAGGTGCTTGACACCTTTCGAACCATCGAAATATCGGATAACGAAACATGGGGGACGATTCGGATCCAAGAGTGAAGCATCTGAGTTCCTTGCTCTGATAATGTGAGACTGTATGACAATAAAAATATATAGAGGTATATATAATATATATATATATATATATATATATATATATATATATATATATATATATATATATATATATTATATATATGTGTGTGTGTGTATGTAATATGTACACTATGTATGTATCCAAATGCATAAACTATTTGGAACTCTTTGACTATCTCACTTCTCACCCCAACACCGAGATCCTCTACCTAGGGAATTTCAATGTACTACTATACATCACAGAGAGTGGCTTGGCTCTGCAAAGGATGACCCAGGTGAAGCTGAGGCACTCTCTTTTTCCTTACTTAATAATTTGGAAAAAATAATCAAACACCCTACACGCGTTCCTGATCGACACGATCAACTTGCTACCATTCTTGATCTTTGTTTTACCTCTAACCCCTCACAGTATTCATTAGTAACAGCACCAGCAGTATTACTAACAACACCAGCAGTATCAGTAACAGCCCCTTCAGGAGAGAATCAGTGGTAGCAAGTGGTAGTGATATGATGTTTTTCTGCAGGAGGGAGTCAGGGGCAGAAGGTGAAGATGTACACTATGCAGCGAGGACTCTGGACGATACCTACTGACGATGTATATCTTCGGTACAACTTCACTGAGAAGGCGGATCCACTCTACTCCTTCTCGGCATGTTACTGGTTGAGGTATACTTCACTCATGTATGTAGCTGCTGCCATTCATTTATCTACAGCTAAGATCATCAGGAACGAACTATATGTGAAAGATGTCGAGAACTATAGGGTGGTACTTACAAGTTTAACAGTAACTTTGAAATAATATTTACTTACTATTTTCTCTGTGGTTTTATCTACAAACTTTTGTCATGTATTTTCAGTAATATCAAAGTTAATAATGATTCTAACATGCAATAAGTTTCGAATGATATCGACCTTTTTTTTTATTTAGCTGCTTACAATATTACTGTTTGTTGTAGTTGTTTTTTTTTATATTAATTAGTTCATTTACGCTACTGAGTTACTATGAACAACAAACACGCGTGCGTCTGAATTGAGTGTACTACTTCCGTCATAACACAGCAACAGCTACGACGGCCTAAAAAGAACATGAATAGGGTTTTCTTAAGGTAACTTCCCAAGTGGAACAGCGATATGGGTGTAACACAGCAGGCACAGCACAGCAAAGGATGTTATCCAGTTTGCATCGATAATTTAAAGTATTTTGTCTTAATACATCATTAAAGAAAGGAAATTACACTACCGTACATCCTGAAAGACGTCTTCTGTGTCCAGGTATGAGAGGTTCGCTACCCTGATGCCTCATCTGTCCTACGCTGTGAGCGATGCTGAGCCCAACATGATACTTCTGTGTGAGTACGCTAGTGTGATCTACGTATAGCAAGGGTGTCAAACTCATGGCCCGCGGGCCAAATGTGGCCCTTGGGATGGTCAGGTGTGGCCCGCGGGATGACGGTAAATTTATCATCCCGTGAAATTATGAAGAAAAAAAAAGATATAATCATGTTTATTTAGTAAAATGAATTATACATACTTAAGATCAGACGAACCCAAATGAGGTATTCCTGGTAAGCCAGGTAAGGCAATGTGTGAAGCTGTAAACTTCAATCCTGCAAATATGTGATATAGCACTTGTGTTGGCCCTGAAGAGGGTAACTAAAATATGAATTGGCCCTCGAAAGGTTTTGAGTTTGACACCACTGACGTATTGTGTGTGTGTGTGTGTGTGTGTGTGTGTATGTGTGCCTTCACACATCCTCGTACACCAGAAATCTTGTAAATCTCAGAGTTTTAGGATACAAATGTTTCTTTTCTCTTGATAAATTATATGGTTATTATAACCATGTCAGAAATATTCATAAATGTTTCCATACAAGTGGGAGTTGGTGAAGGTTGTCGAATTAACCTCTATTAATTTTTTTTTCTTCAGAGACTGGTACATATTCCCACAGTCACATCTAGAGTCCATAAACTGAAAATCAAGAAGAATCATTTTAACACTCATACATTGTTGATGTTGCCCCTTTAAGTGTTTTAAATGCTGTGATTGTTGAGCACTATGTTAAGAAATATGAAAACAATATACTGTAATTCACTCTTTGAAAACCACAAATATATACATAGCATTTTTTGGACACATTTTGAGGGACTTAAGGACCCTCTTATCTTAGAATACTAAACAAAATGAAGGTATTTGTCGTTAGTTTTATTGGGTGTTACAGACCACGATGGTATAGAGCTGAGCTCGTTCATCTACAGCAAGACGCAGCCACACACCTGGACCCGCACCTTCATGTTATACCCGGAGATCTGGTACCACCTGTGTCACACTGTACGAGATGATGACGTCGACATACACTCTGTGTACTGGCAAGGAGAGGCGAGTGTTCTAGTCCTGTTACGTAGGTACTGTTCTTACCAGTGATGTAGGTCTCCATGCACATTTTCCAAGTCTCGAGACTTTTCGACACAGCAAATTTTTCTATTAGCTTTCATGTGTGTTGCAAGGGCGTTGTCAACTGGTTAAGTTTGGATTCAGGTAGAGGATTTTAACTTACCTGGACCTCAAATCCACCTTAAGTAGGGAGGTCCTGGGTCTTGGTCAAATTTCTTAGACAAGGTGACCCATGTACCAGGTATGCACCAATGTAGTTCTGGCAGCAGTACAAGGTCAAGTTTCCATCACTGGTCAATCTGGCATTGACCATTTAGACCGTGTCTACCTCTAGTGCACCGGTTGAGCGTGTGCGTCGTTGTGGGGATGATAATGAGATCCCATATACTGTATACAGAACATCAGCAAATATACATAGTATGTTGATGTTCTGAAGTGTAAAGAACGCTTCTCATGTTTTAAATAGCATGGATATTATCAACGAGATTTCACCTTAAGAAAAAGTTATAAGTAAAGTGTATTATTATTCATATCTTTATCATAGTACTGATACAGTACTTACACAGTCCTATACTACAATCTATGTACTACTAATTCTAACAATGGACACATTATTAGAATACTTGCTCTATTACAGTACCAAAAGCAACTAGTATAACTTACACTTGCTACTCAGTGTGTCTGTGTACTCCAACACTGAACATCGTTTATGACTCATTCTACACCTGACACAATCCAACACTACATACCAACCATCACTCAATATATCAGACCAGTCACAATGCTGTATATAAGATCACTTTTGGGGTTTTATGAATGTTGTAATAAGTGTATGTGCACATTATCAAAATGTTATGCAGTGCAGGTAACTTGCAAGTAATAATGTAGTGTCATACAAACGGTATAGTGCCAAGCTTCACCCTCACTGAATGTGATAAACTGCATGATAACCTAACCTACCTGATCTATTATCAAATCTCTTAGAGGTGTGAAGGCAAGTAACCCCACTCGCTCATTAGTATACCGCACATTTCATACAATCTCATCTGGTGACGAAATTGTCGTCCACAGTTTTTTGCCAGTGGGCCGGTCGAGGGCACCCCAGGACTTCCCCTGAACGGGACGCTGATCATCGGACAGGAACAAGACCTCCTCGCCGGCGGCTTCGATAAATATCAGGTGATAATATTGAAAAGTAACAAAGTATTAAATAACAATAACACGTAGCAAAGTACCAGTTCATATTATCGGTAGATTACCAGGTAACAGGACTGATTAGGAAGATGGTAGGTGTCAAAACCCATTAAATGTCCCAGCTAACAATACCAAGTAAATATTTTAACTGTAGCAGTGCCAGGCAAGACTAACAGTTCAGAGAGCACCAGGTAACACCACCAGGGAGCAGAGTCTAAAGTAACAAACTACCCAGCAAGAAATAACCTGTAACCTTACCTATAAGCCTCAATTGGTTGTATATGTGCCATTACATTCCCTGTCCTAATGGTGACAATTTCGCCGACAATCTGGACAGTCCGCCACTATATATCGTTTTATTTTCATGGACTGATGAAGAAAAGAAGATTGTTTATGGTATAGATAATCACCAGCAATGAAAACAGTTTTATCTTCCTCTTTTTTTAATATAAGACTGTAACTACAGGTTCATCATGGCGAATACGCTCAATTGAATATCTGGGACCGAGCACTGACCCCCTCTGAGATGGCTGACCTGGCCAACTGTCGCACTCCTGGCCGAGGCAACATCTTCAACATGGATGAGGTCAATTGGGAAGTCTTCGGAAACGTTAAGGAGACCCTGGTGGACATAAGCTACTTCTGCAGGTTTGGTCATGTTTGTCTGGTAAAATATTAAAGATGAAAAAGTTTAAAAGAAAATTAAAGAAACCCATTTTAACATAATAATAATATTATTGATAATGAGTTTGCAGGGGACATGATCTATAATATTACACTAAAGAAATTTGTCTTAAGATCCCTGTAAACATTAACTCTATAAATCTATAAATCTAGTTTAGCAGCCAATACCACTGATTACAATACAGAAGAGATAAAAAAATTTAACCATTATTCCATCACTTTATATATATATATATATATATATATATATATATATATATATATATATATATATATATATATATATATATATATATATATATATATATATATATATATATATATATATATATATATATATATATATATATATATATATATATATATATATATATATATATATATATATATTGATAAAATCACACGGGGTAAAGGGAAACAACGGAGCACCTTAGCTTTCGTCTTTATTCAAGACATCTTCAGAGGCAACTGGATTACATGGACAGAGAGAAGCTTAAATATACAGGGTTTCCCTTTTCCCCTGTGATTTTATCAAGATTTATCTTATCCACGTTCTCATTGTGGATCTACATGAAATATATATATATATATATATATATATATATATATATATATATATATATATATATATATATATATATATATATATATATACACCGTTTTTGTCAACAGCACCGAGCCGCTGTATATGATACTGCCTGAGGAACGACCTTACCACTCGACCCAAGAACTTTGTGACCTTTTCAATACCACTATGCCGGTACCTGGGTCAGTTGAAGAAACTACCCCAATACTGAAGGAATTCACACCCTTCGTAAATGTTTGTAACTCGGGCAGCACCTGGAAGCTCTGGTTAGGCATCACAGATGAACTCCTAGAAGGTGTTTTCTTCAACGTGTACACAAAGAGACCCATCACTTTCCACCACTTCCTGCCCCCTTACCCTATTGGTGGACTACTGAACAACTGCGTCATTCTAATGTTAGATGGTTCATGGGTGGACTTTCGTTGTAAGCTCAAACGCTGTGGTGTTTGCTACTTTGAAAGAAAAGAGTTCTTATATCTAAGAGGCTTGTGTTTTGATGAAAACAGAAGATCACATTTTCGATTGAGCGGCTATTATGATGGGCGACCTGTACTGCGTGGCTTTTATAGTATGTTTGTCATATGGGATAATTCATTAAATAACTGGCTTTTACATGACATAGATAAGAATGTAACTCTCGCCAGGTCCGAACTGACTGACATCGATGGGTACCCACTTGGCGTTGAAACTTGGATTGCAGTAGAACCGCTGTGCGGGGCACCTAGTGGAGGCCAAATGAAACTAAGCTTTTCGAGTTGCTCCGACGAACAGTTCATGTGCACGTCTGGCTCCTGCATCCCTCAGAAATATCGCTGCAACCTTCGTTATGACTGCAAAGATGGAAGTGACGAGGATAACTGCGGCATTGTGGAAGTTGGTCACGGATACAGACGCCATCTGCCACCAAGAGGTCCTAACGACACCACCCTCATTATTACACCCTCCATCACTGTCGCTCGCATCACCAATGTGGATGATATGAGAATGACCATAAGTGCAGAATTTTTGATATCACTGATGTGGAAGGATGACAGGTTGACTTTCAAGCACTTGCATTCAGATAAAGAAACCACCATCACGAAGGCAGACTTGGATCTCATCTGGAGGCCACAGTACCAAATTACCCCCCTGGAGGGAGGTCAGGTCAGCTTGCTGGACGATTTCGCCGAGGTTATCTCTGCCAACAATGCTACCATGCCTAATTTCAACACCGTTAACAGAGGTGAGAAATTTTTTATTAGTCTTCAGGGGAGATCAAAACATTCACTGCACACAGATATTAGAGGTTTTGAAGCTTGTCGAAAAGCCTATTTTTGGTGAGTGAGCAAAGCTAGTTCACTTTGCTATATTAGACCTCAAGATATCACCCTTGTAGAATATAGCAAAGTGTACTAGCTGAAGCTCGATTCATTAAAATAGGGGCTTTGAAGCTTGCTGAAAAGCCTATTTCTGGTGAGTGAGCAAAGCTAGTGCATGCACTTCCCCACCCTTCCTTCGGCTCCACCCCCACCCTCGGCCTGCTATTCCTGATGTAGGTTTTGGAAAGCAATAACCACAGGGATCTAAACTCCGGCACGCCTTGTACGGCGCAGGCAGTAAGGGGCTCTTCTGCGCAGGTTACCCATTCTCTCAAGTTTTTCAGTTTTCTACAAGCTAGTCGCAGCCTATACTAATATACATGTGTTAATATTGGCCTTTTCACCTCCTAGGGTGATATCTTGAGGTCTAATATAGCAAAGTGCACTAGCTGAAGCTCGACTCACTAAAAATAATATAACGTACTGTTTTACTATATTTATACTTCCCCTTTTATGGTGCGATTTTATCACTATAAAGTAATTCACGTGATGGAAAGAAGAGAGAGAGAGAGAGAGAGAGAGAGAGAGATAACAGATACAGTACTGTATATGTACAGTTACTTCAAAAATTTCCTTTACTCCTATGGTGATGTTTGCATGCGTGTGTCAGGGTCACATTACTGGAGTAAATTTATGAATGCATCCTTAGTAGTCTTGTAACAATGAAGCTGAGAGGTGAAAAACATTCCTAGACGTAATTTCGCATGGCAATAATGATAAATAGATATATAAACATAATATAACTCAATATAATAATATACAGATAGATGCTTCATTTAAGGAAGAATACCAATATGAGTGATAAGGCCTTGAAAATAAAACGTCCAGTGTACAATAATTTTTTTTTTATAATTCATGATTATCATAAACCAAGAAGCTTCTTCACACATGGACACTGGCGCCGCTACACATGTCCTTGGTAAATCATACACTAGTTCTATACTGCCAGACTGGGGTCACAAAATCTAAGGGGATAACTTAACTCTAATCTTAATTTCTAAGGGTCGCTGCCACCAGACCCCCTCTGGACAGCATGTAGCTCGTTAGGTAGCGGGCAGAGTGGACTAGGCATTGGGTTAGGTTTTCCATTGATCAGATCGATAAGGGTAAAGAAGGGTGAAACCATAACATGTCTTCATTGATTTATTTCTTATAAAACACACTGGTAAAAAAAACACACACAACCACACTGTGGACCATAATTCCAAGGCCTGTCCCAGGGTATAGCACTGGCGCCTCTAACAACTGTTGTTGTGGTCGGTTACACTCCGACCCGAGATGGGTTGGGGGCCTCGGCCCACGAGGTAGAGTAGAGCCGATTAATCACGCCGAATCAGCGCCATCACTCCTATATTGACCACTGTTGGGTATCCACCGGCTCCGAGCGACCGGTGGGTTTCAATTAAGCCCACCCTCGATCTGGAGACAAACGGGAATCAGCGTCAGGGAACGAGAAACATGACAACACCAACAAACTCTCTTGCCTAGACGACAGACGTATTTACGTTATATTACTTCTACACTGGGTGAATGACAATTCAACTGTTAAATCATGAACACTGGTGAACACTGATAATCACTACAATTGACTGAATTAACTGAATGGCTAGGAAACACAGAACATACCTGGAGACAAACGGGAATCAGCGTCAGGGGATGCTGATTCCTCGCCATCTCGAGTTTATATACCCCTGAGTTGCCAGTGATCGCTACTCACACAATGACAATAATTACAAACAAACTAACTGTTACTCATTCAAAGATGACCCTCAGTTGACAAAGGTCTGGCGAATTACTTGGGTTGATTTACACAGACTAATTCAAGATTGAGCTTCCCAGGAGAAAGTGGAATAAACAACGTATTGATAACTGTCTTCACAAAGGCGGGGCTTACTGGGAGGGATTGCGAGGATAAACACGCTCCTGAGATTCTACAAGCGCGGTGGATTTGAATATTATGTAGCGTAATATGAATTAAAAAGGGTTTTTAGGGATGACAATGAGGTGCGCAGTACAGTTCTAAATATTGAAACAAACCCTCGGGAATCATATTATGTGGAGGGTGATTCATGCATTATCTTAGCATCTAATTTTTTCATTTTTATGCTAGTCTTTCCATTATTACTTTATCTTCGAGAAATGTCATTATGCCCGTGTGGGACCCCTGATAAACAGACGTAAAGAGGGGGACGAGAAGACCCCCGTATATCTCACCTGAGCTACACTGTCAGCTGTAGTGACCAGGACGGCCATACTACACACTCGCTCACCTCACGATGACCACACATGAGATATTGGAGTTATTCCTGCTCTTCCTGCTGTTTTCGTTCTCTTTCACTCTTCTTCTGTTCTGTTTCCTTCGTTTTTTAGTCCTAAAACGCCTTCTGTGCCCTCAAATAGCCACGAGAAAATGGTAACACGAATAAACTTAAGAGACCATTATTGTCGTAGGCCTGGTAATGAGACTGCATTGTCTTCGCGGGTTGTGTTGTCTTGGTGCGTGTTATGTAGCATTATGCTGACAAAAGTAGTTTTAAATGTAAATACATGATATCAAGGAATATGAGTTTACAACTATCAGGCACTAGCCTAAACCAACATTTTTGGTTTTCCTCATCAGGTATATAAATGTTAGCCAAGTGTTCTCATATTCGCAGTAGTTATCTCTTTTAATTTATTAACATTAAATGCAAATGTAGAACGAAAAACATCCTTAAGTAACAATTTATTGCCATAATCATATTTTTTAAGTAGCTCTAATATCATGTGCCAAACTAATACAGTTACCATAGCTAACAATAATATTATGATTATCATAATTATATTCCTAGAGGAGGATTCATGCTAAACAAAATACTGAAGAAAGAGGAAAATGATAAGATGAAACGCTTAAGAAGGTAGAGCATATTCCTATTAAACTTGGAGAAAGACTTCCTTCGCCCATGCTGCCATATAGGAGTCCCACTGGACCTCTATAAGGAAATTTTTAGAACTAGGTTGACATAAAATGAATAAATTTCAAACGAGGAAATGTTAACTAACATTTGTGTGTCCTGTAGGCACTGACAACCTAAAGGCGAGCTAAGGTAGCCAGGTTACAAGTCTTACTACTTACAGTATCTATGTCGCCGTTAATGTAGGCAATTTACAGACTAGTTTCTTGCTTCTTATATAATATCCTAAAAAGAAATGTCAGCTGAGTCATTGGTGATATTTTACTCATATATTTTCTTATCATGACAGACTCTTATTCGCCGAAAAATCTCCACAGATGTAGGGTATCCAGGAGCCAGTAATGCGATGATCTCCAGCGAACGTTACACGGCTATCCTCACTTGTGACTTTGACCTCTACGTCTACCCTTTCGACATTCAGGTGTGTAGCATCAATATAGGTTTACCACGCGAATATGAAGGCACTGTTGAATTTCCTGAAGAAGTCAGAGAAGCATACTTCACCGGAACTGAGGACCTCTCACAGTACAAGGTGAAGAACATAGCCTTTAGCCCTCAGTCACAACCAAACCGTATAGTCATCAACTTCGAGCTCCACCGTCGCCAGGGAGTAGTATTGCTGTCAACGTTTGTGCCATCTGTACTGCTGCTGATGGTGAGCTGGGCGACGCTCTTCGTCAGGATGGAGTTCCTCAACGTGAGAGCCGTCATGTCCCTCACCACCCTGCTGGTGCTCTACACGCTCTTCACCAACCTCTCCCTCTCCATGCCCAACACCGCTGCCATCAAGCTTATTGACGTCTGGTTCTTCTTCATTATCCTTCTTATTTTCCTCAATATCATGGTTCACATATTCATTGAGCACATTGTGTTTGTGTGTCCTAATATAATATCTCTAGAACCTGAGTATGGACCTATGGTGAGTCATAACTTGGATAAAAAAGCTGAGAAAATAATAGCACGGATTAGAGTTGGATTTGTTCCTATAGCGTTCGTGAGTTTCAATGTTGTTTACTGGACATTAGTCTTCATATCTTAATCATGTTATGTCCAAAAGTAAAATCTATATTGGATTTTGAAGAGAATGTCATTCTTGAGTCCCAATGAAGCTTTTAGTGAGGTTGGGTCTCCCAGAAGGCTCTAAATCAAGGCTCCATTCCTATGGTATAATGCAAAAGAACTGTGTTGGCAATTCTTAACAGGTGTCAGAGAAGTCAGACACTCGGCACGACTATTGGCTTATACTATACTGTATAGTGTGTGAGATATATAAGATAACGATGTCTACTTCACGACAAGCCTGGAGAAATAAATGTTAATACGGAATGGTAATGTGATAAAATAATGAATTGTATTCATTCTTTTTACCATAATATTCGCAAAGTATACAACTACTGTATAGTCAAGCCTTTAGAAGTTTAGAATGTAAATTACTGAACCTAGTGCGCACATGGCATATTGTACTAAAGGTTTTGTTATACAGTTCTCCTTGAGTACACTTTATTGAGATTCTCATTTGTACACATGACATTCACTATTTCGTTTCCATTACTTCCACCTAAACTCGTTGATACATAGTAATTCATAATAGTAAAATATTCATGTAAATAGTTGGACTTTGAAACTCATAACCTTTTGAACAAATTAAATCTTTATCGGGCATTACAAATGATTTACAGGACAAAAACAATAAATATAAAGTTGTAGCAAAATGATATTGATGTAGAATAACTTTCTAGCCTGATGAATGAGACTTTCCCCTGCTTAAGAAGCCCAGACACCATGGCTTCTCTTAGTACTTTATTGATGAACACTGAAATGTCATATATCAATGTTTACGATTAAAAATATTACTTTGTTTATGAATGTAGGTATAATTCTTCTACCCAAGGAGGTTGAGATAGCAGGCTTGAGAGGTAGGAAGATAGTTAATTTGATATCACTGAACCTCGTGGCACTTTAACTGTAAAACTTCCAACCTTCGCTAATAGTAAAATTTGTACGACTCTTCAACGTTTCACACCATAGCCATAAGTTTCAACACTGTATTTTATTCTTATTTCAGTATAAATATTCCACCTTTTATTTATTTTGTATGAAACTCATCACATTAGCAATAGGTAATTAAACGTATAATTACTCAAATTTTCATGTAAAGTTATTGACACTGAATACACAAATAAATAAAGAGAAGGGTTATCATATAAGAGATAGTGTTAAGTTACACTCTTAGCCAACATGTTCGTGCAATAATTGTGTACATATTGCGTTTTGTCTTGACAGTATGTTTGCTTGTACTCGGAATTTTGCTTATTCATCGATTTTTTTATGGTCATCTTTTTTCTACAGCAGGAATTATTGAACTTTAATCTGCATTTGTATTATTATTATTATTAGTAGTAGTAGTAGTAGTAGTAGTAGCCCCAACTCCGACAACTGCTGCAGATATTGACTATGAGGCTACAGTCACTGAATGCCGCATAGATCTGCGGCTCAACTAATTTAACACAGATAGGATAGCTTCTTATGTATTAGGATATTTAATATTAAGGTAATTAAATGGTGGCGAAGGTGTGGCTATTGGGGGAGGCTGGAGGCCACGTTAAAAAAAAGTAATAGTAGTAGTAGTAGTAGTAGTAGTAGTATTTGTTGTAGTAGTAGCATTATTAGTGAGTAGAATAAGTGTGATAGACTAGGATTTTCTTGTATTATATTGTAAGAACCAGAAGAATATAATTATAAACACAGCACTCCTGACATTAATTCTCCACCTTACTACTTATTGATCGTGAGAGAGAGAGAGAGAGAGAGAGAGAGAGAGAGAGAGAGAGAGAGAGAGCTAAACTGCTGGCTAGAATTTTAGATAAATAAACAGAAAAATAGATAAAAATTATAATAGATTGAAAGAATAACAGATAATATATAAAAATATTAGCCAATAGTTAAGAAGGAAAAAAGGTTAACAACTATAAAATGTTAGACAGAGAAACTGATATTTGAATAGACGAATAAAATATGATCTTTAATAAATACTTACTCGTACGTAAAATATGCATACATAGTTATTTACATACATGCATACTGTTGAAGGCCAGGTGGATGGACATATAAAGTAGATGGAAAGATGATGTGTATATAGATTCATATTTACGAATACATAGACAAAACTAAAAGGGTGTGTGGAGACGGAATTATCCACAGCCGTGTTTCGAGGCACTGTGAGCATCACCAACTCCTCCTCCGACACCCAGTGAGTCATGTAATAATCGTCCTTGATGCCACTGGCGGGGCGAGGGTGTCCGAGAAGGCCTTATCATCTGGGCTGCCATGGTGTAATATTCTCATATTTTTCTCCCCTTTTCCACTCGGCTTTTTCTCGAATTTTGAGGCAAGGATGACTGAACCGCAGGTTTCCTAATCTAGTGTGCTATTGTCTTGATATAAAACAAGGTCTGTTTTTGCTTAAGTCGTATATTGTGTTGGTGTAGTAGTGGTAGCAACAAGAAGCTTACAAGAAATTTAGTCTGGGTGTTCTCAGTGTTGGCGAGCGGTCATGACGAACACACGCCACCCTCGCCACCGGTCGCTGCACCACTTCCTACCCCTGATGCTGTTGTCCAGTCTGCTGCCCTACCCTGTCACTTACCTGCCTGCTGACGCAGCTGATATTCCGCCTTGGTCTGACCTTCGCGGTCCATCACCTAGTCTGCCTGATTCGGTGGTTGATCATCGTGATCCGCCACCTGACCTGGTCGACCCACTACCTAATCAAATCGCCCCACCACTTGATTTAAGCGATCCATTATCCACTCAGGACTCTCTGTTCCCTGGCACAAGCGAATCTCCCGTAGCGTGGGAGCGTCTGGACTCGTGTAGAAGTCCGTCACAGGTAGTGGAGCGACAGGTGGCCTGGGCGACGAGGGTCATCGACAAACAGAAGGAAGTGATCAGGAACCTTCAGATGAGATTCGTAGCACTGGAGACCAAAATTGATAGAATGTTCGGATGCTGTACCAAGGTAGGTGGAAGAGCCAGAGTTGAATTTAAAGACTAACGGGAAATTCCTGGTTTACCCAAATAAGTTTGCGTAACTTACGCTGAAGAGGAAAACTTGTCCTTTCCAAGTGAAGGCTATAATCTGCAAATTCTAATTTCTTTAAATGTAAACTGAAAGCGAATGTTGGCTTGAGTGATAGATTTCAAAATTTACTCTACAAAGACATAGGAATATATCCATTCGATAATATTTCCCGTAACTATAATTGTTGATGATTAGTGTAATTAATAACTTACTGTAGAATAAGCAGTGAAATACGTTAGGCGTTGAAACGGAGTAATACATTCAGAAAATTCAGTAAAACCTTAATTCTTACTTTTGGCGTTGCCTACTGCATTTCCAATAGATATATTATTATGAATGTTAATGCTAATTGTCTTGACAATACTCATGAGAGTCCGCACTTGGCTGTGACTTAATACAGAACACAAAAACCACTTCATAGAACCGTGAATTAATGTAGTTATGTTTTATGATCTTATTTTTTTGGTTAAATTTTAGTATTTTATGATCTTTCATCTTCCTTTCTATACCACTGCAATGCACTACAGTGTTACAATAAGATATACAGTACATCTACGATTTTACGAATAAAACAGTCCTTGGAATGTGCAGACAGAAAAAAAGAAAAACACAAAGAAATATGCAATTTTTTATGAATTAACTAGCAGTGTCTTAGTCTAAGTAACACAAACTAAGAGTCGTTGTGCCTTCTCCAGGACTGATTCTTCTGTCTTCTACTATCCTAAACATGTTTCTTGAACCACGGCCTGGCAACAGCTAGCGGAGGCCAGGCGCTGTGAGAGTTAACTGTGGTGTGCTATGTGTTGACTAATTTAAAGTGATGTGTGTGGCTTATTAAGTCACACACACACACACACACACACACACACACATATAAATATATATATATATATATATATATATATATATATATATATATATATATATATATATATATATATATATATATATATATATATATACATATATATTATATATATATATATATATATATATATATATATATATATATATATATATATATATATATATATATTCATCTTTTGGTGTTATTTTTATGGTAAGAATCAATTCCATACAATATAATACACGAAAGAAATTAAACAAAAAGTTCACTGGCTTTCTGGAAATTTAACTTGTCTGTCTCCTGCAGCAGCCACCTACACCCTGACCACCGCTGAGGCTTGGACGTGGTTGTGGAGCTGGTGAGGGATGGAAGGTAGCTGACGTACCCTGGTGGTGAGTGGACTGAACTACTGCTACTGTCCCAGGCAAGAAGAAAAGCTCTACCTTTTAGCTCGTTCAGCTTCTTAGAGTCTGTCATAAAGTGCACTGCACTGCGTGTGTCTATATATATATATATATATATATATATATATATATATATATATATATATATATATATATATATATATATATAATCATGTAGATCCACAATGAAAACGTGGATAAGATAAATCTTGATAAAATCACACGGGAAAAGCGAAACAACGGAGCACCTTAGATTTCGTCTTTATCAAGATATATATATATATATATATATATATATATATATATATATATATATATATATATATATATATATATATATATATATATATATATGTGTGTGTGTGTGTGTGTAAGCCATTGAGATTTGGCAGGAAGGTTGAGTCCTTGCAAGGAAAGAAGTGCACATAACGAGCCCTGGACAAAGTTTGTGTTGTGGGTACTGCAGCATCTTCCTTATCTACATCACTCTCGATTTAGGTCACGGAAATATTCATAAGTTTTGATGACTAACACGAACTTTTATATCCCGACATAGTCGCCGGCTGCTCACACGGGAGGCCACTGTCCACGACTCGGAGATGGCTGGTGCAGTTACTGTGGCAGTAGTGACCGTAGCAGCGGTGAATGTGGCAGCAGTGGCTGTGGCAGCAGCGACTCTAGCAGAGATTACCGTGACCGTGGCACCAGTAGCCGTGGTAGCATATAAGTCGTTAATTACAAATTTCAGCACCACTACAGTGAAGTAAATGTGACTGCAGATGACGTGGGAAGAACGGTGGAGAGAGGGGTGGGGGCGTGACAAAACAGATGACAGGACGTGACACATCATGTGTCAAGGGGCTTTATCCTCTACTCGTGCGTGTGAGAGGACGACCAACATCTGTCAGTATAAATGAGTTTAACTTTTCCCGGCACATAGTTGAGTTTTGTAATGACAGTATTTGATTCATGACCATGTTGACATTTCTCTTCTTTATACACAACTAGTGAGAAGAGTTTATGTTTAACAAACTGATGTACTGTAAACTACAACCGCCAATGAATCTTACTTCTTACATCAGCCAGCAGTAGTCTTACCAAATCTGTAGTTTGTTAATATTTTTTCTTATCTCCCTACCTTTTCCTGGGTCTTCCTGGCAGTCTTCTCCCTCTGATCTCCAGTCAAAATTCATTTGGGGGATTATTTATTCCTCCATCCTCTTCACGTGACTTATCCATGTTAGATTAGACGACATTTCTGCTCTAATAGGTACAGTGATGGTGTTAGTCGAAGCACATCTCTTATAGAACCAGTTCTTATTCCGTTCTCTCTTACTTTTATTGTACAGTAAGTCAGACAGCTTTCATTTCTGCTGCTACTAGTGAACTTTCATCCCATGATGTATATATATTCAGAACTTATATAATTTATGATATTTTTTAGAATGATATTGACTAGGGTTAATAAAAGTTAATCTAGTTATATAACTGTTTTAGTATCCTCTTTCTCAACCAGCAATTTGAATATGATAAACCCCTCTACATGGACGCCTCTTCTAGTACTCTATTTGGCTAACACGAGACGATTTTATTCAGTAGAGAGAGGACGCTGTACACAAGGGGTTTAAAGATCATTCGATGAATCATGTACATAGTATGCATGATGATATAGAGGACTGGGTCACTAGACAGCAGCAGCCAAGGTAGAGACGCGTCGTCCTTACCCACCTATCTGAAAAAAACAGTTTTATTGTTAACCTAGTAATTATATAGTATAGTACTGCGACACTGTTGTTCTTTGTATTAATCTTTGGCTACACCACACTACACTACAGTACAGTAAACTGGTTGAATGATAATGCTTCGTTTTTTTGACTGGCTCAAGACTGTACTTATACTAAATGGCAGACAAAAGAACTTACAGACAATACTGCCATTCGCCCAATGAGAATGATTTGCATTTTTGTTTATCTTGCTATACTTACCAGGAATCGAACAGTGCGTGATGCTTTAGCTTGTCAATGCATGAGTCTTACTAGCAGTCATTAGAATGAGGAACGAACAGGAACTGAAAAGTAGCGCTGCGTTCAACGTACACCTCCCCCTGGCATGTCTTGCACAGAATATGGGTAATATAGGGGAGGAGAGCGGCGTATAATAAGCCAAAAACTAAAAAATAACGTTCTTGTCAAAGTACTAGGTCAATATTGTCTCCAAATTTTACTAGCTAAATAAGTGTTAGAGATACAGCCCTGACAAACAAGCAAGAAAACCAACTAAGGAACAACTACCCCCTTTCATAACTTTTACCCCCGGGCACGTGTTTGGCGTGGCACAAGAAAAAGTCGTCAGTCCGACCTAGTATGTGGCTAAAGCCGCTAAACGACTTCATCACATCTGTACCAAACAGTACAACACACCAATAGATACCCGTAATAAAACCTAAGCGTCTATGATAAGTTTCATTTAGAACACGTCTACAGTATTTACACTTACACAAGAACATAAAAATATAAGAAATTTAGAAGCAAACAATTTATCTCAACCTTGTCTATGTTGATCAAATTAGTGTGTACGGTAGTTGGTCCATCACTAACTCTGCTTCTTTGTTTTGTAATACATTTTGAGAAGGTCAACCAGATGTAATGTTGAATCACACAGTACGTCAGCCAAGTTACTTAACACTAGAAAATACACATTGACAATATACTAAATTGACTGCCAGCAACTGAACTTCGTGATATGCATTTATCCGAACCACATCAAATACTGTAAAATACAAACAACAGCTCTAGCACGAGCAATCCCAGTACCTGTTGCGCCCTGTATACCCAGCAATGACACCAAAGTAAGCCACTTCAAGACGTACGTTTCTAGTATTTTGCTTTGAGTAGGATTTGCCTAAAACTTACCGCATCAGGTAGATAATAGGAGTGACTAGGCATTCGTAACAGGGGATGTATGGGCCCTCAGGGACTCCGGCAGGTATCCGTTGATGTTATCACTGAGTTTATTAGCCATGTAGCGAAGGTCACTCATCATCCCCTCCTGGAAGATGAGGATATCTGTCAAGGACTTGATCTGCGTCGTAAAGTAAGCGTCCTTCATCGTACGGTCCTCACAGTGCGGCGCCTTGTACTTTATGAGTTCCGTGATCCGGGTCATTACTTCGGAAATTGTAGGTTGTGTCTTCTGGTTATCATCCGCCATGGTAGCGCTCACAACCAGGAGCGACACCAACAGAGGCAGTGTGAGTGACCATGCACGCTTAGATGTCTCTCCCATCACGTCTATTTGAGGACTGGTGGTCCAACAATATGGGAGGCGAGAGAAATATTTCAAAGGTGCCAGGTAGCATTTTTTACTAATTTCAATCTAAATCACGCATTCTGTATGATAAGAAAGATAAATATTTTTATGTCAACACAACCATATGAAAACAACAAGGATAAAATGCAAGCTAATCCAAACTGAAGACTAATGTGCTTGAGTATAGACTGTCAGCAGGTTGTGGCATCGAAGATCGAAATGGCGCTCTGCTGTCCCTCCCTGCCGTGCCCCTCAGTATCACCAGAAGCCATGAGGAAGCAACGTGCCCATCTGCTTGAGCTCATGTTGATGATGGCGGCATTGCTGCTGCCAAAAGCAGCTCCTCAGGCGGTCGAAGAAGAGGAAGTCTCCGTGGACAATGAAGTTAATCTAGTTATGACAACCATCACCTCCGGAGTCAATCATATTTCCACCATTCTTGAGGAACGCGAGGAGTCCTGTGCAAAGAAACTGTCAGAACCCGTGGAGGAAAGCCTCGCCGAAATAGAGCATATTGTAGAGGTGCAATGGGAGAGGTTGACGGAGGCTGAGGGACAGATGAAGGTCGTGGACGATAAGATGAGTGTATTGCTCCGACACCGCGGCACCCTGCAACCCACCTCCACCTCTGAAGGTAATCTGGAATGACTATGTCCATTGTTCTATCCAACTGTTTGTCGATCACCTTATCGCCATTCTGATAATCCTTTATGTTACCAGAAACCACAACAAATCCATATGATTGTTCTCACTATCTTGACAATTGATGGTTTATTCATAAAGTACCCGTCCAGGTGAAACAAATATAATTACAGATCCAACTTAAAATTGAAAACGAAAAATACATCTAACCAGGACAAATAAATCACTGTAGGTGCACGTGATCCAAGTGTTTGCTGATAACCACACACACACACACACACACACACATATATATATATATATATATATATATATATATATATATATATATATATATATATATATATATATATATATATATATATATATATTTTTTATATATATATATATATATATATATATATATATATATATATATATATATATATATATATATATATATACACATGGAAGTTCCCAAAGCGCTTTCGTGTAATTCACATCTTCATGGGTAGTACAGACTGCTCACCCATGGATCACTACAGTGATTTATTTATATATATATATATATATATATATATATATATATATATATATATATATATATATATATATATATATATATATATATATATATATATATATATATATATATATATATATATGTAAGGTCACGTCATTTTGAAATATTATTTGGTCACCCATGATTCATGATTCAAGTGAAAATAACATCATTATGTGACATTGTCTTAATCAACTTTACTTTATACGTTCTTCATTAAGTCTCTAGCTGAGTAAAGCATCAGTTCAGAGACATTTGTACTGTCAGGTCACGTCATCATGATCACTATATAAAGCGGCGCCACCTTACAAGAGTTCAAATATTAATTGTTTCTTCTTGATTGTTTCAGAAGCGATAAACAGTAAGAGGCAACACGAGCTTGATCAACCTCAACGATTCTTTGTCCTCTCCTCATTTGTTTAAGAGCAAATTACATAGTTAGGTAACACCATCTGACACAGCCTCCATAAAATTGTCACTTCTCCACCTGGCTCGGAGTAAACAACATTATTAGGTCGCTTCATCTAAAGTAATGTCTTCGAAAGTGTCTTTTGCCATAAATTCAAGAACAAACGTGTATGATCAGGTTACATCATCTCAACATGACCTTCTTCATTAGTGTTCGTCTGTCCCAGGTTGTGCAGAACCATTCGAGGAGGCAGGTGGTGGGTGTTTTTGGCCTCACAAGAACCCTGGACTCAGCTGGGAGAGAGCAAGGAAGCGGTGCCAGCAGGCTGGGGGCGACCTGGCCACACCTGAAGACCTAACAGCCGTCAGGAACTACCTCAGACACAAGCTTGGCTCAGGTCGGTGACAGACACTCTCTCTCTCCTCTTTTCACTATCTCTCGCGTCACTTTTTTTTCTGTTTTGTCTATTTTCGTTCTTAATGTATGTCTCTCTTCCTCTCCATCCCTTTCTCCCGTCCCTTAAAGTTATTTGTGCAGTGATATATTAGCAGTTCTCGGTAAACTCAACCATTTAACTTCTTATTCTATACCGCAGTTCTATTGTTGTGTTTGTAGATTAAGCGGAATTACACCATGTTTTCAACTCTGAAGGACGTACTGGGGAGATTACGTTACGACTGTCGCTGGTCGACAAGACAGCAGAGCTATGACGCAAGAAAAAAACAGACATACTAACGGACAGAAAGATGGTCAAATATACAAACATACACAGATAAAAATAGAAAGAGTGGACACAGCCAGAGAAGATTGTCGCAGAGAAACAGGCAGACATACAGAAACACTAAACCCACAGAAACCAGTAGCTCAAAGACAGGCAGCGACACAGAATAATCTTCCACAATCAGAACACAGCCAAGGCAAATATAACCAAACAAACCTTTTCTCTCTCCCACAGACTGGTGGTACCTCTGGTTGGGTGGACGTATCACCGGGCCCAGGAGGTGGGCGTGGCTTGACAGCCCGGAAGGGGAGGAGCGAGAGGCCAGCGAGGATGACTGGGCCAACACTGACCAATCCGGTGACTGTGTGGCGTTGAACGGAGGCCGGGGCTACCGGGTCATGAAGTGGGACTGTCAAGATAAAAATTGGTACCTCTGCGAGAAAAAGATTTAGTGGATGGTGATAAACCCAAAAGAAAAAGAAAGAGAGAGAGAGATAAAGAAAAAAATAACGATATTCACTAGAAGATCAACATTATTGAATATCGAGTGAGAGAGATGAGAACATGACCTTGCACCATCTCTGCTAGATATTAGTTAATGTCAATTGTAAGGGAAGTCCCTCGTCCTATGAACCTGTGAGTGTTCTAGTAAGAGATGTAAGCTTATACCCTGAAATATTCTGACAAAACAAACAGCACCTTCTGGTGTTCGTTCCTTTCCATCAACACGCCGTTAAATCATTGTGTGCCAAACCTCTCTCTACCAGCTTCATCTCTGAGAACCCTCTCCATCCAGCCCTCTTCCTGCCAGCTCTCTCCTTTCTGTAACCTGGATGCTCTAGTGTAATGTTTTTTTGTATAACTCATGTATAATTCATTACTTTTGTAGTTTTCCCTTTGTTTGTACGTGTATAATTTACCTATTATATGTAAATAAAATATATTTCTGAGATGAATCTACCTTTGAGAAACCTTACCTGTCTATAGAATAGTTAACAGTATGACTGTAGCCAGCATGTTTAATTAAAAAGAACAAAACAAAGACAACACAGAAGGTATAAATTCGTTTACACACACACACACACACACACACACACACACATCCACACAGCATCCTAACAAGCCAAATGATGACTGATGACTTTGGCTGTAGCGGGAGGGACGGACAAGCGGGATATATGAGAGACACGATGATCAATTTCACTTCACCAGCTTTATGGGGGGTCGAGGCCACGGCCAACACTGTGTTAACTAGGGTGAGATCTGATGGTTTGGCCTCTGGGGTGTGGATGTGGTCCTGTAGACGAGAGTTGGGGAGAAATGGGGGAAGGAAGGAGAATAGGATAGGATGGGTGAAACCTAAGTGGTGAGGGAGAAGAGAAAGGGAAAAATGGTTTTATTCCCATTTGCCAAATTTATTCTCATCCATCTTATCTGTCAAATCTCCCACTCTCAGCTGCTGGTAAACATAATGTCATTCTATGTCTCCTTTCCTGATTACAAAAAGGATGGTCTATATATTCTATCTGTGACTTCATCCAAGTCCATCTAAGTCTGCCTAGTTTTTATTTACGTCACAATCGTGTCTCAAAGCTAAGTGAGATTTTATAATTCAATTCAATTCAATTTAAATTGTTTATTCCTTGATAGAGGAAGCGGGATCCTAGCGTTGTCACTAGGTACCCCTGTACAATAACACCAGAAGCATCTGGCAAGTGTGACAAGTATATACAGTATAAATATTATAAAGGGGCTTACTAAAGCCTAAGGAAGGAAGGATATTCCTTTTACACATAATCAATGTTATTTACAAAATATCTGGCCAGTATGGGGAGGATCATTGTGTCTCCGTCAGGGGGTCGTGGAGTGGTGGTCCAGCAGGCGTCACGGAAGCGTTGTGTGTGGGGACATCTTAGGAGGTAGTGGATAAGGGTGCGGCTGTCGGATCTTCTGCATAATGCACAAGAGCGTTGCTCAGGGGATGCGGGGATACCAATCTCCCAAGCAAAGTCATACCCAATGATGATACGGGCAGCAATCACGTTCCCTTTCCGCGACCCTTTCCCATAGACATACGAGAGGTCAGGAAGTTTACGGAGGACATCTTACTAAAAGAGTTTATATACTTAACTGTTTCCGTCTTAAAACCAATCGTGCCTGTCTTGACCACTTTTTCACTGCTGATGAAGTTTTTTCTACACTGAATCCTCTCACTCTCCCTCAATCGCTCATTCTCTTTCCTACCTGGCGTCAGAGACTCAAAGCTGTTCCAGACTCAGAGCTGAAGACATGGCTACACACACACACACACAGGTATCACTACCCTAACCGAGGAGCTAACTGGAGCACAACTTGCCTTGAGGTTTAAAGGTGTCCCAAAGAAACTACCATCTGTTGAGACGGCGAATAAAATTAATTATATAAAGTAGTAGTTATATAAATCAAAACCAAATAAGTCACCAGTCCTCAGTGAGATAATTGCTAATCTTAAAAGACTGTAAGGAAGAATTTAGTAGTTCATTAGCGAATTTGTATAAGAAGTCATTAAAACTACGAGGTATAATAATTAGGAGTGATATTAATAATTACTATAAAAAGGACAAGATGATAAATCACTGTCAACACGGCATTACTAAAAGGCGTTCTTATCTGACATCTTTATCATGATTTTTTTCACTTATTGTGGAGCAGTGGGCAATGATAATGATCTTGATGATATTAACTTCGATTTAACAAAACTTTTGATAAGGTCCAACACATGAGACTACTGAGGAATGTATAGATGTTCACAACATTGGAAGGAAAAGTTTAAATTGGATAAGAGCTTTCTTAACAGACAGGAAACAGAGGATCAGCATTAACGATACAAAATTAGGATGGGTTAACAAGCTGCAGACCACGGCTCCTTAGTGTTTATCATAGGTATAAATGACATCGATGTAAGCGTGGGCAACAACCTAAGTAAATTTAATGATGGTATAAACATTGGTTCGGAAACAAAGTCACAGATGTATGGAGCAAGTTACCAAATAGCCTCATTAATGCAGTTACGTAGGGAATATTTAAATATAGATTGAACAGATACTTGAATGTTTGGGAGTTAATGGGAGCTGGCTGGCAGGAACCATAGGGCCTACTAGTCAACTACAGTTTCTTTTTGTGTTATGTTCTATTGTTCTTAAGGGGGATGAAAACTGGCGAGCAGATTTATACTTAAGTAAAGTTAGCTGATAGGAAGTGAAGTCTATTTTAGCTTCCCAGGACGAGTAGTTAAGGATGTGTGGTGGAGGGGGTCACACTCAGCCATGTTGGGCCTCCCCGCATCCTGTCCTCACGGTGGTACTGTTTGCAGACCTTGACTGTCATGAATGAAAAATATATTGGATGTTACCCTATGACCCCCACACTGTGTCCAACTGTACCAAACTACTGTTTCTCAATTAACGACCATACTACTTTATTCAACAAGTAAGTGTGCTAATAAATATACAAACAGATAGAACAGTGACAAAAATAGTAATGAATATAAAAAAGGTGGATATGCGTAAGGAAATAGCAATTATTCCCACACAAGTACACACATACTCGGTCACCTCACCACCACCTAACATTCGTACATCCTGTAATTCTCAATCAAGGCCCACATACCCTCACATCCCTCTTAACTCATCTGCACCATTACTCTTTATTGCCGGCCACTGGGCTGGGCTAGCAGGCCACGTGAGGGAGGAAGAGGGAGGGGGGGAGTAAGTGACCTGATGGAAGGGAAATGGGTGACTTGGGTGAAGAGAAGTGAAGTTCATTCTCATGTGAGGAGGAATCTATGAGCACAGCCAGAGGGAAGGAAGGATGTATTAGAGAAGATAGGCTGGTTCACGTAGCAATGGCAATGTGAGTTTCATATACCCTTATTTGAATCCCATTATGGAAGGCTGTTGTACCATGACAAGTACCGAGTTTATATCGTAGATGATCCTGTTTTATTATGTGTTTAATTTACCGCCTGCCTTAAATCATATCCTTCTGTTATCTGCCTCTATCTCCCTTATCCTATCTGTTGTTTCTTTTCAATTCAATTTCAATTTTAATTGTTTATTCCTTGATAGAGGAAGCGGGATCCTAGTGCTGTCACTAGGTACCCCTGTACAATGACACCAGAAGCATCTGGCAAGTGTGACAAGTATATACAGTATAAATATTATAAAGGGGCTTACTAAAGCCTAAGGAAGGAAGGATATTCCTTTAACATATAATCAATATTATTTACAAAATATCTGGCCAGTATGGGAAGGATCATCGTGTCTCCGTCAGGGGGTCGTGGAGTGGTGGTCCAGCAGGCGTCACGGAAGCGTTGTGTGGGGGGACATCTTAGGAGGTAGTGGATAAGGGAGTTTCTTTTCGTTTTCTTATATATCTCGCTATTCCTAACCTGTCTACATTTCTATCATGTTGTGTTTTTGTATTCTTATCCTATCTTCTTCTATCTATCACTTTCTATTTGTATTCCATCTTATTATTCATTATTTTCTGTGTTGTTCCTACCTATCCAATTTATTTTTCATTCTCCTTATCTCTTCCTGTTGTTGATTGCTAATACGGCTGATCATTTGTTCCTGTTTTAATGTGGGACATTTGGCTTCACTCTACAAGGGGTAAACCAGGATCACGCAGACAGTAAGCTTAGAAAGAAAACACATCGCGTTCACCCGACTCTAAACATTCTTAATAATTACAAGGATTCTCTTACATTAATTTTGTTGGTATGTTTTTGTTTTGGCAAGTCTCTTCTTCCATAATAATTTAGTAAGCCTACAGCTTCAAGTATATTCTGTTTTATCATAGTTGTGTGAATTCTTTTATCCCAGGTTGATATTCCAAAAGCTTATAGACTGCGTTAGTAAACAGTGTAATATTCTAAAAGTTTCATCTTATGATACAGAAAGTCAGGCTGGTCAAGCGTATTTATTTGTTATAAAATTTTGCAATACATTACATATACATTACTCTTGCTTGTGGTACTTACTTAGTTGAACAATGGATGTGTCATCACTGCATGCTCTACAGTCTACACGGTAACACTAATGATCGAGGCGTCATAAGCCATCCACTTTCACACTTGTACAGCCGGGTCATCTCCTCCTGGTGTCAATGTCTTATTCTTCACCTTGATCTCACAGATGTACCATCTCTTGTGGTTGTCACAGTGTTTGGCTTTGATTTTAAACCGGTTGTGGGCCTCCATAGCCAAACAGAAGTCGGAGCTGAAAGAAAAAAGCTCAGAGTACATGTTTTCACCGGCGATGCTCCGCCCGTCCAGCCACCGGAACGCAGGAAACTCCAGCTTCGGGTCTGTTTTGCCGCCCAGGAAGAAGTATCCCCAGTCTGAGGAAGAGTAATGGGGGTTATACATGTATAATGTCATAAATATTAGTTGTGATAATAATGCATTGAATTTGTATTGCAGGGAGCAGAAAATTAACAGAAATATTATTATTTTACGCCAATTTAAGAAAGAAGAAAGAGGGAAGCTCATATAATTGTCTTCTGCAGGAGCCTTTCTTTGCAACAAGGTTAAGTGCACTTTATCTCACCTCCAGATGCAATTGTCTTTACGTATTTCTTGAAGCTAGGCAGGTCATCTGGGTGAGCCAGGTCCCCCCCGAGCCTCACGCAGGAGTACCTCGCTCCTGCCCACGTATTTTTTTCCCCATGGGGGTAGTAGAAGCACCCACCACCACGAGCTGCGAAGGGCTCCGGACACTCTGACGGGGTAGAAAGAAGATGAGGTTATTAAGTGACTGAGCAGGTGCCGGAGACAGTGATTGTTATCATCGAAACACTGTTCTTACTATGGCACCTGAATTGATACCTATTTTGCGAAATAAAAGCCATATCGTAACAAGGGGTATTTCCTTTATATTAAGTTAAAGAAAACTTTATATATATATATATATATATATATATATATATATATATATATATATATATATATATAACAAAGAAGTATGTCTGTTTGTTTGTGTGTGTATGTTTTTTGTTTGTGTGTCTGCACGAGAATCTCGGAAACTACTTTACCGATCTGTAGTGATGATGGATGGTGTTATATGTAGTGATAATGGATGGTGTTATATGTAGTGATGATGGATGATGTTATATGTAGTGATGATGGATGGTGTTATATGTAGTGATGTTGGATGATGTTATATGTAGTGATGATGGATGTTGTGATATGTAGTGATGATGGATGGTGTTATATGTAGTGATAATGGATGGTGTTATATGTAGTGATGTTGGATGATGTCATATGTAGTGATGATGGATGTTGTGATATGTAGTGATGATGGGTGGTGATATATGTAGTGATGATGGATGGTGTTATATGTAGTGATGATTAGACAATAAAATAATGACAATTTAATGCTAAAAAATATACTTTGCTGTACCGTTGTAGTTAAAAACATGGTGGAACTTACATACACCGTTAATGAACTATTGATGGAAGAAGAAGTTTTGGGGACTGAACAGTGAGACAATGTGGAGCCTCCCAGAGGGTGGCGTCCTACCGTGGCCTAGCGGAATATATATATATATATATATATATATATATATATATATATATATATATATATATATATATATATATATATATATATATATATATATATATATATATATATATATATATATATATATATATATATATAATAATAATAATAAAAATAATAATAATAATTAACGGTTTATTGAAAGAGCATGGCAGCCGGAAGGCTGAAAATATACAATTACATAATCAGGGAATGGGTCTCTTGGTTTACAAATGATACACAAGAAACATAAGTGATAATTTTTACAATGGTTGGGACTGGGCTGTTGTTATAACAATCAGTTCGTCCTCGTATGGGCTGGATGCGGTTGGTCAGGTGTGTGTGTGATGATATTAAATTTTTACGTTATATAAATTTCGTGTTACAAACTGCATTGAACCAAAACACAGATGGGTTATGAGTCTTACCGTCAGTGGTGGGGTCCTCGGCTTGCACTTTGGCGTACTTGTCCATAAGATGAAATATGTCCTCCTCCAGCCTCTCCAGCGTCAGCCTCCGGATGGTGACGTCTCTCCAGAGTTCTTGAAGCCTCTTGTCGCAGCCATGGGTGTGATTAAGAATCTTTTCCAACCTCAGTAGGGCAGCAAGAAAGGCCTCTGTGTCCTGATCTCCTGCCTCCTCTACCTGCCCCTCGCTAGCCAGGCTCTCGTGGTTCCCATTACCCTCCCTTATAACCCGCAGCTGTTCTTTGTCAACTATACCTGCCACGTCCACCACCAGCAGGCCACCCACCATCAGCAAAGCGAGGACTGGAGAGCGACGCCCGCACGCAACCATGGTGTACCCGGCACTGACCCATCACACCACGAACCACACACACACACACACACATACATACACACACATACATACATACACACTACACACACACATACATACACACACACCCACACACACACATACATACACACACACACCCACACACACACACACATACATACACACACACATACATACACACTAAACAAACACACACACAACACCACCCCACGCCACACGGTCTCCCCATGACTACGTGAGGTCCTTCATATCGTCACCCGAGGACGAGTCACTGTACCACGTGAACACCACACCACCCGGTGTCCCCATGACCACGTGAGGTCTTTCATATCAACACCCGAGGACGAGTTACCACGCCACGTGAACACCACACCACCCAATGTCCCTATGACCACGTGAGGTCCTTCATATCAACACCCAAGGATGAGTTACTACACCAGGTGAACACCACACCACCCGATGTCTCCATGGCCACGTGAGGTCCCTCATATCAACACCCGAGGACGAGTTACCTCACCACGTGAACATCATACCACCCGATGTCTCCATGACCACGTGAGGTCCCTCATATCAACACCCGAAGACGAGTTACTACACCACGTGAACACCTCACCACCTGGTGTCTCCATGACCAGCCCAGGCCGGGGCCATCAACTGTAAACTATAATAATTTGTGTGTTCAATCATTGTTCCTCCTTCTTTCAGTAATGAAAGCTTTTGTTAAACGACCCACCCACCCCATGTCTTTGTATGTAATAAGTCATTTTTATCTAATGTATATTTTCAGCCTTCGGGCTGCCGACTTTTTCAATAAACCGTTAATTATTATTATTTGTATTATTATTATTATTATTATACATACACATACACATACATACACACTATACACACACACACATACACACACACACACACAGACACACAACACAACACAACACAACACAATACACACATATATATTTTGAACATTATTATTGTTACTTATGTGCTTCCATGATCTATGTGAATTCTAATGTTAACATTATATTCTTATAGTTTGTACTCTGAAAATCCCTTTACATTGCACAATGCACATAATGCGCGACTTTGTGTTGTATTGGGAGATATTTCATAACCTCAGTATATATTGATCTGGTTCTGAATCTATAGTCTTTATAATCTCTGGTAAATAAACAGTGCAGATTGCTTCAACATGAAAGAGAATGAAGCAATGCAGCGCTGTGATGACACGGATGTCACCACTTTATATGATAATGTAACTGAATTGGAAGCCTCTTTCTGTACCTTTGTCTGTATTTGTAATAATGAATCTGAGTGAGCAGTATGATTCAGATTTTGAACTCAGATACAGCCAAAAATTAATAAGTCAAACAGACATAGAAAAATAATATAAGAAATCAAGCACTGGAAATGTTGAAGAGGAAGTCGTAACTTGACATGGTGTTTGTCTGAGAGAAAGAAAAAAGCATAGGTAGATAACGAAATAGAGAAAGATAGGAGAGGTAGAGACAAAGAAGAGAGAGAATATTGTTTATCAAAAAGATGAGGTTTACAATAAGAGAGACGAGCCTGACCATTACATATTTTGAAGGCGAGAAGATGCGTCAAGTTACTCATTTAGTTAAGTGAATAAAGTCGAACTGAGGATGAAATAAACAAACTATTTTTTTGTGATTATTTATTCTTTTATTATTACACTTCAGGTTAGTTATGTGGCTAAATGATGCGTCTCACAGTAAAGACCAGAAACCTCCCTGTCTCCCCTCACAGACCCTTTCCCCTAGCATACCTCTTCCTTCCCTCACAAGCCCTCTTTATCTCGCAAAATGCCTACTGTCTTCACAGACTAACTTTTTTCCTGACAAACAACATCTTTCCTGTGTGTTACCAGCAGACTCAGTCACAGCTGTGGGAAGACGTTCATCATCCTAGGGCCGACGTCCATGCAGTGTTCCGATTCTGAAAGCTTCGTTTGCTTTATCTTTTCTCATAAGTGGAGATGAGAGAACGCATCTAAGTGGCTCACTTGAAGCTATGATACAATTTGAGGTCATCAAGGTAGCGTCAAAATTATATAGAGACAACCATAACTGGATACGTTGCCTTATTCCCACTTAAGAGTTTGAACTAAGCAACAAATCTTTGAGAATCAGGATCCTGGTGGCCAACTGAATCATCCATTGTGGTGCCCGAGGCCAGAGCGTGAGGTGGAGACTAGGAGGAGTAACTTGGCGCTAACATAGGATCGCTGTTTCTACCTTATGAAGATGATGAGAGTCTGTAATATATTTACAAGTATACAGTATGTGTATATATATATATACACGTTTTCATTGTGGATTTACATGATATATATATATATATATATATATATATATATATATATATATATATATATATATATATATATATATATATAATATAAATCTTGCCTCTGAAGATGTCTGGAAAAAAAGAAAGCTACCATTGTTTCCCCTGTGTGATTTGTCAAGATATATATATATATATATATATATATATATATATATATATATATATATATATATATATATATATATATATATATATATATATGAATGCTACTACTGCTACTACTATTAATGTTGTTGCTTATGATTATAATAATAATAATAATAATAATAATAATAATAATAATAATAATAATAATAATAATGATAATAATAATAATAATGTAAATCATGGTACTATTCTAATATTATTACTACTATTACCACTAGCAATAATGAAGATGATAATGATGGTGCTACTCCTACTATAAGGAAAATAAACTCACGTTTTCATCTCACAGACGGCGAAACCCTTCAAGTGATCACAGTGACCAGCCCTCAGCTGATATCCATCATCAGCGTCAAGCAACACGCAGTTGGCGTCCTTATGAGACCTAGGCAAAGAGGTGAAGTTGGAATCGTAGCTCGCCATCCTCTCTCCGTCCACCCACCTCCACTCCGGAAACTCCAGGCCTGCCTCCGTCCTAGCCCCAAGCCAGAACTTACTGCCCACTGTGGATAGGTGGGTATAAAAGCGTGTTAGTGGGGGTTGTGTTAGTGGGTGGTAGTGGGTGTTGTGTTAGTGGGGGTTGTGTTAGTGGGTGGTAGTGGGTGTTGTGTTAGTGAGGGTTGTGTTAGCGGGTGGTAGTGGGTGTTGTGTTAGTGGGGGTTGTGTTAGTGGGTGGTAGTGGGTGTTGTGGTAGTGGGTGTTGTGTTAGTGAGGGTTGTGTTAGTGGGTGGTAGTGGGTGTTGTGTTAGTGGGGGTTGTGTTAGTGGGTGGTAGTGGGTGTTGTGTTAGTGGGGTTTGTGTTAGTGGGTGGTAGTGGGTGTTGTGTTAGTGGGGGTTGTGTTAGTGGTTGGTAAAGATTGTTGTGGGGGTTGTGTTAGTGGGTGGTATTGAGTGTTGTGTTAGTGAGGGTTGTGTTAGTGGGTGGTAGTGGGTGTTGTGTTAGTGGGTATTGTGTTAGTGGGTGGTAGTGGGTGTTGTGTTAGTGGGTGTTGTGTTAGTAGTTGTTGTGTTAGTGGGGGGTTGTGTTAGTGGGTGTTGTGTTATGGGTGTTGTGTTAGTGGGTGTTGTGTTAGTGGGTGTTGTGTTAGTGGGGGGTTGTGTTAGTGGGGGTTGTGTTGGTGGGGGTTGTGTTAGTGGGTGTTGTGTTGCTGGGTGTTGTGTTAGTGGGGGTTGTGTTGGTGTTGTGTTAGTGAGGGGTTGTGTTGAGTGGGGGTTGTGTTAGTGTGTGGTGGTTTGTGTTAGTGGGTGTTGTGTTAGTGGTGTTGTTGTGTTAGTGGGTGTTGTGTTAGTGGGGGTTGTGTTAGTGGGGTTGTGTTAGTGGGTTGTGTTAGTGTTACTGGGTGTTGTGTTAGTGGGGTTGTGTTAGTGGGGGTTTGTGTTAGTGGGTGTTGTGTTAGTGGGTGTTGTGTTAGTGGGGGTTGTGTTAGCGGGTGGTAGTGGGTGTTGTGTTAGTGGGTGTTGTGTTAGTGGGGGGTTGTGTTAGCGGGTGTTAGTGGGTGTTGTGTTAGTGGGTGTTGTGTTAGTGGGTGTTGTGTTAGTGGGTGTTGTGTTAGTGGGGTGTTGTGTTAGTGGGGTGCTGTGTTAGTGGTAGAGTACGTGACAAAAAACAATGATGGTTTAAGTACAACTCTCCATATTGGTGTCATGGGTCATATCACCGTCCAGAAGTGAATTTTGTGGATGTCTTTGGCAACAGGAATCAATGCTGAAATCTTAAAATATTTATAGTAAGCATTGATTGGTCGTACCGTAAATGGTAGATCTTCAATAAACAACAGCTCAGATTCTCAAAAAATCTATACTATATTCAGAGATATTCTCTCATCCCCAGTCACGGGGGATAATATAACGAGAGTAATTCTGAGAATCCCGACCATGGCGTTACTACACTCGGCCCTCACACACACTGCCTCACACGGATGATGGCATGATCATCAGTATACACCCACATGCCTGACGTCACTGCCTAAGGGGGACATGGGCCCTCATATAAGCCTGTATAGCTGTATCTGACACGAGAAGGAGCTAAATAACTGACCAGTCGCCTCACTTTGTTTATGTAGGTAATCCCTGAGGGCGTAAAAGTTGTCAGGGTGGGCCAGGTCGCCTCCCAGCATCCAGCAGAAGATCCTGGACCTCCACCATGGCCACAGCTTTTCACTGTACACATGGTAGCAGCTCCCTTCTATTGTAGTGAAGGGCTCCTCACACTCTGTGGGAAGGGAGTAGTGAGAGGTAACGGGAACTGTAAACCGGAATTACATATAAACATCAAATAAAAAGCAATCAGGCTGTCCAAGTCGGGAGGCCCAAAACAGGCCAAGCCCTACCGACAGCTAAACACCTGCTGCTCATCTAAACCACCAGGAGTTCTTTTGTTTGGCTCCCTTCCTGGTGAGGCTGTGCACGTGATTATCCATCGTACGATAGACAAGTTGCAGGTGACCCCAGGACATGACAATTTCAGCTGACATGACTAAGTACACAGGGTATGCCTGTGTCTACATCTGATCACTACATGTTAAGAAAATAATTGGGGAGAATTCCACTAGAACTACACTGTGACAGGTTGTGGAGAGGGACAAGAAATGGTGGGTGGTGGTGAGGAGAAAATTGTGACGGGTAATGGTGTGGTGGGAGCCGTAAGGGTTTGTAGTGGGGTGAGAGGGTGGCGGTCAGGCAGGAAAAGGTTATTACAGGACACTAAAGCGAATTTGCATGTTTTTGTTTTTGTTTATGCATATATACAAACAGATGCGTACAAATAATATGGTGTGTGTGTGTGTGTGTGTGCAGTGCGTTCTCACCTTCGATCTTGGGGGAGACAGTTCGCCTTATCGAAGCCACTTGATCCATCCTCTTCAAGATGGTGTCTTTCAGGTCCCCCAGCATTTGAGACCGGAGACTTACAGCTTCCCACAGTTTTTCCAGCCTCCCCTCACAGCCCTCAGTCTTCTGCAGCGTCTCCTCCAAGTGAATCAGTACGTCATGGAGTTCCTGGTGGGGGTGTATCGTTGCTGTTGCCCATGATGCCAAGATGGTCCCAGCCGCAGACGCCAACACCCATAGCGCACAAGAGGACACTCCACGACCTCCCGCCCTCATGCTCCCTGCTGTACTGATGAACACTCTTCCACTCACTAGCCAGTACGATCATTTTTCACGGACGCACGAACACACACACACACACACACACAAAGTGTAACAAATACACTGTGATCAACAACCCTACCACCTGACAAATTTCATTAATATTGCCATATACAAATCTTGCAAGCAACTTATATGACTAACCAGTTTCATATCCTTATTCTATTTTCATATCATTATCATTTCTTTATCTTATTAAATTCACATCCATACCATACCTCCTCCACCTTCCTAATGCGGCATTAGAACAGATACAGTACAATAATAATGTAAATAATCATCCAGTGTTTCGTGTAAACTTATGCAATAGTCAGTATAGGAGATTTCTTTTCAATATATTCAACTTTATTTCTATCCCACCACTTTTAACCAATTTGTAGGGAAGGTGTTGTAATGATATTTATTTTTTCCTTTCTTCCTACCTTCTTTTCTTTTCTTTATTTCTTAACTGGTTCTCTCTTCATACTTTCTTTCTTTCAATTTCTTACTTTATCCATTTCTTATTTTAGCTATTTCTTAGTTATTTTTCTTCTCATAGATACCCCCTAACCTCTTATCTGTGGTAGCATGGCCCGAGGGGTAGGACACGTGGGTTTACTGTAATTACTGGTACCAAGGTATGGGGAGAAACAAAGGTAAGATACTGCAGGGATAATGACACCCCCCAACATACAATAATGACGGATTGTTAAAGTGATGTTAGGTTTATGACTACTTTCAATAGTAAAACTACAAGGCTCATCTCCATGGTTTCACTCAGTTTGTATTTCTCAATTAGGTACACCTTTCAATATCCACGATTACTTGGCTTACTATATAATTAGACACATTATAATCTTACATGTATCACACTTGAGCATTGAGCACCACCCTGACAGGTTACCTGAAAATTTAGCTCTTACTTACTAATAGGACTCTTAGTAATAGCACCACTTTAATACTTCAATAGCACCAGGACCAATAGCCTCCCTGCACTACTTTGTTACATTTGTCGATAAGTAAAGTTGCAACCATCATACACTTGCTCACTACAGACATCTATACAACTGAGAAGATTCCATACATGAATACTCTGATGAATAATACACCCAAAAAGTAGCTCTACTTATCGTGGTGGACTCATAACAATGCTTATGAGCTGGCCGTATTTACTCCACGCGTGAGATATCCACACGTGGACAACAAACACATCTGGCCACATCCTCTGAACGTAAGATCTCAGCTCACCACACCACCGTATTATACGACGCTATCAGATCTTAACAGCCTTCATCCACCTCCATTCTGATGATGGACGTCGTCCTGGCATACAACGACCACCCGTGGCCTATCCAGGCACCTGTCACACAGAGGAGTCGGGACTTGAGAATCAGGTCAGAGTGAGTTCGTCTTGCTTCTCCCAGCCTCCCGTAACCCCTGAGTTAAGTCGGAACATTCACAGACATATTCATCAACCTCCTTTACTGTACATATTGGCTTATGAAAACGAGGCTATGAGCTAATATTAATTTTCTAAGATTAACTTTTTAAACTAACCAGTGCCCGAGCTTTCAAAGGCAAGAATTAAACTGGAGGGTACTCAGAATGGCAGTGCATTGTGGGCAGAGCTTCGGACAAATAGATATTGAGAGTTCCGTTAAATCCCAGTGATAAATAGCGGACAGTTTACATTTCAGATGACTAATTACTTTCCGTAATACAAACTAACAACACGTTCAATACTCTCATCGGATTCTCTGATGTTCACAGATCAAAAAGATATGACTTCAGTTTGAATTGTTATCCCGTAAGTTCACAAGACATACTGATTTTCAGCTGGCGGTTGGGTACTCAAAACACCTCGTCTTAACACTATGTACTCTACACATAAAGATATACTGTATGATGCCTTCAACATATACTCAATACACCTAGAATGCTTTATATCACCGTAGGTATATCTGGCTTGTGGCTACTCATGCACGATATCTCTTAAATATAAATTTACTTTGTAAGAGAGATTTCAGGATGTTTAAGAGAAAATGGATGGCACTTATCGCTCGGGAAAGCACGTCTCTCTCTAGGGGTAACTGTAACTCAGTTGTTTCACACATGTTTTGTGTCGCCGGTGGAGCATAATACGAAAAATTAAGTGTTGAACATACTAGCCGTGCTACTGTGACCATGACATCAGGACCTGAAAACAAGTGATCCATTATGTGAGACAGTAATTACAGTCATGGAAACTTTGTTGTGTGAGGACATTGAGGGGCACAAGATACATAGTTTACCTCTATGTCTTCCTTCTTTTACTCATCGGGTGTGGCAGAGGAATTAAGAAAAGGCGGATCATGTACACGACGGTTTTACTTTTGTGTGGCCTAATGATTTGACATGTTAGGATTTTATGTTATAAGGAAAGTCGTGTGCTATTTTTCTGTGAGTATAATAACTGTGTTCTTCTACTACTAGGTTGACAAATACAGTACACACTCCAGGTAAGTTCATACACAAAACAACAAACAAAAATCAAAGGAAGTGTTTTTTTCTCGTATGTGATAGCTTTGTCCACCAGGAAAGATAACATTCCGTACTAGTTGTCACTGAACGGACGGAAAATATTTGAAAAATATCTCCTTTATTGATGCTTAAGAAACTAGTGTTTATATTGAATGAGATTTTAGTGCTAGACCTGAGACAGACATATTTCAGATCTTTGCCAAGTGTCAAGATAAAATTTTCATAATAGATATTGCGGTTATCTTTCCCTAGGACAACCAAACACATTAATCACTTAGACTAATTATTCATTCTGTCCTCGTGTTTGTTTGATGTCATGAGTGACCGTCCTCGCCTGTGAGCGTCTCCTTTGGTCACTCTCTCTTCGACTTAATTTTGGGCTACCTACTGATATCGAATTAAGAGAAATGGGACATCACAATCTAGAGAATGGGAAACTTTTAGGTGATTACACATAAATTCTTCCATCTTTGCTAACTATTCAATACTATGCAGGCTGAAGGAGGCGTTGGGGAGTCAAACAAATACTGATGCCTGTGTGAAATTCAACTTTTATTCACCAATTGCAGATTTACTTTTGAGACTGAACTCAACTGTCATTCAACATAATTAACATTATTTTGTTTACTTGCACGCTGGTCAAATTAAATACTGGCATTAAAAGACATAATTTATCTAATTCCAAGAGAGAAGAAAATGCTGTAAAAAAAATTAGCTCTGAAAATATTGAATGATCAGGTAACATTTTTTTTAATTTGTACATTTGAAGAGCTTAAATATGTATTTCTTTTATTTAACAACATTTTTCTGCCTTAGACACTGACCAAATTGAAATTAAAATTAAAATGTTATGGTAAAAAATAAAATTAATTAAACCAGAGAGAGGATAACCCGACTCTCGCCATATTGGAACTAGGTATAGGAAAGTCTTACCCAGAGTTACCTGACAGAAGCCGAACTCTTAATTCTAGAGTGACCATATTCAGCTCTGACATAACCCCTCCCCTAGTTCAATGCGAGCTCTGGTGTGTCCACTCCCTGGTTTGACTCGACCACTAGTTTCATTCAAGATTCGGCGCGACACTAATTCAACCCGAGTTCCCGTGTGACTCCCTGGTCGAGTGTTATCCGCAGAAAGACGTAGATGAAAGAACCTCGGACGTCAGAACTTAGAACACCGTCTTGGTCTTCACAAACACGGTTCTCTGTAAAGACAAGCGAAGAGATGGCATTACTCGTGTAGATATTATGTGGAAAATTCTGTTTTAAAACAGTTGTCTGAATTACAAACAATTACACACACGTATGGCAAGAGACAGACAGATGTGGAAATTGGTGAGAACTTAAACGTGATCATAGATATGTGGCCGATAATGTGCTGATGGCGGAAACAGTGGGAGAAATATAATGAATGACTAGTCCACTGAAAGAAAATTGTGTGAAGTATAATCTTAAGACAAACATAAGCAGAACAAAATTTAAAAAAAAAATGGGAGAATGATAGAATATGTCGTATTAACTCTAAGAACCTGAAGAACAGAACAGATGGAAGTGTTTAAATATAAAGTACACATTTCGTGCAATGCATCAGAGATAAATGGTAGGACATGTAGCAATGAATAAACTAGCGAACATATGGAGAGACAGAAACTTACCATAGATTAATACAATTACTAACCACAGAGAAGGAAAACTACTCGTATTCAAAATGCACTGTTTGAGTCAGATCTGATGAATGAAATTAAAAGCTGTGGCTCCATGAAAGATTTAAAATCTGTGAAAAAAATTAGTAAAGACAGCCCGAAAACGTTTTGAGTGGGCCATCTGCATAAACTCTCAGACAAGAAAGTTGGCACTTGTACCTTTATTGAGGAATTGGAAATATCTATTGAGAAAATATGTGCAATATTGTTAGTGGACTGAATTACCTCAAAGAACCAAACAGGATGACAATCGAAACGGGAACACCACTTACCTGATTGTCGTCGTAGGTAGGTGGTGGTGGTGGTGCGTGATGGACGACAACTTTGGGTTGTGGTTGGTAAACGACGACCTGTTTTCGGAAGTTGGCAGCTGTGTTCAGCAACCCACTCAAAAAGCCGCCCAGGTTACTGGCTACGTTTCCGACTGCTCTGGCTAGCTCGGAACCAGCCGAGTCCAGGGCGGTGAACGTCTCTGAATTGCGGAAGCTGGAGAAGAGGGACTTAATTGGAGTGTTGCCCAAGATTACAGTGCACCATCACCACTCAAAACAGAGACAATACACAGTAAAGCAGAGAACTAGCTGATACGGTACTGAAACCTTGCTGAGTTTCCCCTAACAATGGTAAAACTCCCTAGTCTTATGAAGTCTAGAATCTAGACTGAACCTGATAATGAATACAATACCCTCATCCTGTTTTGGGTTATGGGTAGTTTTGGGAAGAAAGAAGTTAGATGTGAAACAAATTTCATCCGGGATGTACAATATTATCCAACAGCTCACTCCAGTGTCGACTGACGTAGATCAATCAAATGTTATCATATCTTAGTTTAATTTCATCTTAATTGAAAATAACTTCAGTCACAGACACGGCAGTAGTATAAAATTTTGATTTACTCGAGTTGTTGTTATTATAAAGGTATCCCTGCGCTTAAACAACTTAGGTCTTTGAGCGCGCAACAAAGGTTAATATTGGTTCGTTGGCTGTCCGCAGGTTCCCGCCATGTTTACCTGAGGCTATACTCCTCACCTAAAGTCAGTTGTCTCTTCCTTTCCTCCTCCTCCTTGTAAGTTAGGTTAGGTTGGTTGGTTATTTTGGTATGAGAACAGGTTTCCTTTTTTGTGTGTGTGTGTGTGTGTGAAAATAGTCAGTTTTTGCAAAAACCGATAATTTGCACTAGAAATGAAAGTCAGATTTGAGTAAAACACACCGAAAAAAGTAAAAAATATCTGTTCTCATACCAAAACCCGAGAACAGCTAATGGACGAATATTTACCTTACAAAGTAAGTAATATACTGGTTCAACAACAATTAAAAATTATGAGAGAACTCGCGGGGAAAAGCGTTTATTTATTTCACATAGTGTCCCCATAATATATTTGAGGCAATGTTCTATAACGTAAGTTTATTTGTCATAGAAAACAAGAAATTTAAAGGATTCATGATTATTAGATGGGATACTATAATACACACACGCGCACACACATATAGTACAGTATATATATATATATATATATATATATATATATATATATATATATATATATATATATATATATATATATATATATATATATATATATATATATATATATATATATATATATATATATGTATAAAAATTGGTTATATACACAACTAATCCATCGACATGACAAAAATATCAATAATATGAAAAGAACTTTGTCTTCGGAGAACACTCACGCTTCTGAGGCTGCGGCATGATCATGGGTCTTCACGTATACCGCCCCACTCCTCGGTGGAGATACAACGATGGTCTTAGTGTGCAAAGGGACTTGAATGGTCTCCTGGTGACTGCTGACGACCTCTTGAGAGTCCCCGTACGTTGTCTGAGGAGCGCTGGCGGGTTCGTGGTTGACACTGACGGTCTCGACGGGAGCGCTGACGGGCTGATGGGAGATGCTGACGGTCTTGACAGGAACGCTGACGGTCTTCCAAGGGACAAAAACTACCTTGTGAGGCGCCGCCATCGCCACCCCAACACACACGACCAAAATCCACGCCGCTGCCGACATCTGAAAACACAAGTACTCTAGTCAAGTTACGTATAAACATACAATTGTACTAATACTCTGATACTCACCGATAGTTAATAATAAAAATAACTTTACCATATCATTCTTCCGTTTATTCATCTATTCAAGCTAATAATAATCTAAATCCAATTCAAAAATATCAAATGACTTCAAAGTTGACCTCTAGTTTTGTCCTTGACCTTGGGATTACTGCGCCCACTGAAGGTCATTTTGTTGTTCTCTTTGTGGACAAAGTTTGAATGATATTGGTCTTGTAGTTTTGAGATTGGTTAGTGAGATATATTCTGTATGTGTGTGCTTACACACAAACACACACACACACACACACACACACACACACACACACACGCACACACACACACACACATACAAGGTTTCCGCTAGTGTTCGAGAATGACTGGCAATGAATTTGTCTAAGGTGTAGAACTGTATGACTCAGTGTCAAGGAATAATCCAAGAAGACCGGGCATGTCTCCAACTGTACTGGCTAACCAATACCCCGGAGCACATTCAGCAAATCGATATAGATCCAGGTTCTCAATTTCGCTGGAAAATAAACTTTCTTCATAGTCTCACCATGTCCTGGGAAACTTGCGAGGTGACCATGCGAACTATTACATCACAGATCCCCACAGCAACCCGGCTACTTTGGTTAGTCATTATGTAAATTTAAGTTTGGTTAGCAGCTGCAGGTGAAGAGTTATATATAAGTTTGTGGCTATAATGTAATATTGTAATGTATTTTATAAAAAGATAAAACATGAAATTGAAGTTATTAATTCGTTTCTCAATAAGAAGGCTTTTAATCATTACCAGAAGCAATACACGGCAGTTGAAGGTACGAGTAGCCCTTGTCATGCACTGTACTGTACTCTATTGTTCATTATTTATTATACACGAGGAAATTCCGAGCTCCATCTCCCCCCCTCTCTCCTCTACACCACTCCTTCTCTGCCTGGATGTTCATAAACACACAAAAAAGAAGAATTTGAGTACGCAAAAGGGCGTGCCGGTGGTGTGAGTGCGACTTCTCCTAACTGAGAACGAAAGGACGTAACTAAATAACATACGATTTCGATTCATTTTGGTTGCCTTTGTGCCACAGCTTGCATGAACCAGTTAGAAGGTACTCTCATATCTCCGGTCAAGGGTAAACTTTACGTCCAAATGTTTGAGAATTTAGGTCTTGGCCTGACAATTATGAACGAAACGGAAACAATACTGAGATCGTTGGGGAGAGGATCAGCTGTGACCAACAAGGAATGGACAGTGTTTTTCGGAGACAGGTTAAAACGTGAATGGCAGTCAGAGTGCTGATTAATTAACTTGTAGGCTCAATGTTAAAGAAGTGGCTGGGTTGGTCTTAAGAAAAAGTGGCCTTCGTGCGGTGCTGAAAGTGAGTGAGGGTGCTGAGCCAGTACTCCTCCAGGGCTCTGACAAAGAAGTGGGGTATTTTGTGTTTGCGCATTTTTGCAATTTACATCCGCCACCTCCATCGTCGACTGGGCCATGCGAAGACAGTCTACCACTACTGCCACAGCAATAAGACAACTCTGCCACCATCATCATATCTTCGACTTCGAACAGAACATGTCCCCCTTATCACTACAATTATCTTTACTATTATTAAATACGTCCTCTTCACAACGACAATGGCTTCACTAATACTACCATCTACCTCACGCCTACCATTACCTTCTCACTTCCCCTTCACTACACTGCCATCACTTACATCATCCTCCACGCCTGCACCATCCACAATACCATCGCAGCATTTGACAACATTTGTTACGTATGCTGAATTGTTCACAATACCGATCACATATTTGAGTTGAATCTGTCCAAATCTGGGTAAATGTCCGTCCTAACATCTCGCATATTTTTTATAACACTCTGGCACATAAAAAAAGCTGTAGGATATTTATATGGTCATCAGCAACTCAAACTTGATCTTTTGCACCAAAGAATTTGAGAGAGAGAGAGAGAGAGAGAGAGAGAGAGAGAGAGAGAGAGAGAGAGAGAGAGAGAGAGATCCCTGCTTTAATATAAGCTAAATGCAAATATTAAACAAAACATTTAACTAAGATAAAAAATGACAATATAATTATTGTAGTTAAAAAAGAGCTAATTATCATCTGATGCTGATGTAATTAGTATCCTGTATAAGTGAAAGCTTTAAGACTGGTTGGACATTAAAGTGTGAGAAAAGTCATATTCTACGTACACATACGGAAGTACAGCACAGACGAGGGAACAGACAATGGTAACTTTAAATATTCCTTTCAGAATCATAAAGGGGCATAAAAATACTAACTGGAACACGACCAGGGTCATCACACACACACACACACACACACACTCCTCACCATTCAAAGGTAAATATTGATTTCAGATAATGCTTTTAGGTCTGGTATAAAGGGGTTGTTCATTCTCTCTCTGGCTGTAAGTGTAGCAGCACCTTCAATACTCCCCCAAATGGCTCACCGGCTCGCGTTACTCTTGATCATCAACATCAACTCGTATCGTTATTGTGATGAATAATTGCTTTACGACATTGTCAATAACAGTGTTACGGTGGAAGACAGCGCTCTTCTCTCTCAAGTTACCTTACACTCGGGGATGATCGGTTAAACTCCCCGACTTAGACGTCCAGTTGCTCTTACGTTCATTTACACTCTTGAAAGTTCTACTACATCTTCGACCTTTAATTATACATTTAGGCGTTCAGTTATATAATTGGATATTTAGTTATAACGTTGGATGATCAGATATAGACTAGGATAATCAGGTATACTTCCAGATATTCCAATATTATCCTAGACGATCAGTTATTCTCCTGCAAGTTCTCGTATACTATTGGATGTGCAGGAGTTGTTCCTTTATGCATCAGTTACATTTCTGGGAGGTAAAATATGTTCTTCATCATCGGACTTTGGCAGGTAAAAATAACTCCTGTCAAAAATACTCATTCTTATGTAAATTTGTATGGCCCAGAGAGACTCACTTGTACATAATGGTTATTGACTTTGTTGGGTTACTTGTTGGTTCACTAAACACCTGTTTTTTTTTAATTGATTACTTATTAATTTACTATCCTAATTTCAGTTCATTGTCTCCCTGTTGATTAATTATAGAATTTGTGACTTGATGTAAACAGCACATGTTAAGTGACAACCCACCTGTTGTGTTTTTTCTACCTGATGGTTTATAATTTACTTTTTGGTTTAACGATGGATTATTTCCCATGTAATCTAACTGCTCACACGTAATCTTTCTCGTTAAACTTCGTGCACTTTCATCTCTATTTATTTATACAACCTCCACCCCATACATTTTACAGACTCTTTTCTTCACTACACACAAACTTCCCTTTTCTTTCTGTACACAGGCCACCACCTCGTACCAAGCGTCTCTTCATACGTACGATGGTTACGTTATCCCTGTGGTATGTGTATGTGAGGGAGGGCGCGACAGGTCAAAGCTATTTTCTCTAGAATGAACAAGACTCAAGCTCTGAGTTACTGCAAGTTTTATCATCTTTAAGTACGTACACACACACACAAACACACACATACACACGAACACACACTACCGTCTCTACATGCTACGACGACTTAGGTCACTTGGTACACCCACGCCAGAGCTGAGGACCATCTACAATGCCTTTATTCTCCCCAAGCTAACGTATGAGTCACCAGCCTGGTCGTCTTCTCTCAACTCCACCCAACAACGTCAGCTAGAGAAGGTACAGAAAAGGGCCTGCAGAATCATGCTCGGCGCAGAATACTCCGGCTACACCAACGATTTCTCCACCCTGGAAATGCCATCCCTCAGTGACCTCCACCACCAAGCACTGGAAAGGTTTGGCAGTGGACTACTGCACCACCCTCGTCATGGCCACCTCCTGCCACCTGCAGCCCCCCACCCAACTCGCGCAGTCCGCCACTACAACAAAATTCAGCCCATAAGAGCCCGCACCGATAGATATAAGAACAGCACCATCCCATCTATTGTTAAAATAATAAACAACTCCTGATTTATGTACTGTACAACCCTGTAAATGTAATCAATGAATATTATATCATTATGTCTAAATCAAATGTAAGTCTGTATATTTTCAGCCACCGGCTGCAACTATATTAATAAACCGTTTATTATTAGTATTATTATTACACACACACACACACACACACATACACACACACAAACAAACAAACAAACTTGCCGCTAGCAGCTTCGAAGGTCTCGGTAGTATGTTTCCAGAGGTATTGAAAAAGTGACCAGACCGGCTTGGTAACCTCGGGAATTGTCCGTACCTCTTTTTTATCGACTGTAAACAAGTTAAGTTCTACCCCTGGTGGCCAAATAGCGGAGGAAACTACCGAAAATGAATGAAAACTAACCATATATGCTCATGACCTGTATTTCGACAAAAGTTTATCTAAAATGTAAGGTTTGTTTATGTTTAAGAATATTTCCTTGTGTGTGTGTGTGTGTGTGTGTCCCAGCGGCCACTTCATTCCTAATTCACACATTTACTTGTTTATACGTTTTGCTTGTTCTTCCTCGAATTCAACCTTTATGGAAACTACTTGAGATATTGTCGTCATTCATTCATACAAGGTTAGTTCCCCCTAAGTCATATAGATACATTACTTAGTTGTTTATAGATCACAGACTCACAGGAGACCTCAAGTTTACAATAGACTTTTTTTTTGGGGGGGGGGGGTGGTTAAGTGTGTGGGTTTATATATCTACTGAGGCTCTCCAACCCCAACTAGTCTGAACTAAGAAACGTAAGACAATGTTCCAAGTGTGATAAGACACCATTGGTTACACTACATTTTAACACCATGTAAGGGATTAACATTAAAGGTAAATATCAAGTTAAGTTTGGGTTAGATTAAATTTGTTTAGGAAGATTTGGTTGTATTAATTACCGATATACTTAAACGGTCCTTATCGTTCTAACGTATGAGTATCTTTTAACTTATCTACTCATAATTATTTTCTTATCAACCAAAAGTATTGTTTGTGGGGTAAAGTTTTATACTTATTTGAGGTCTATGTCTATATTAAAGACAAGCTATGTTATCGAGGCTTTTGCTTGTCTTATATACGATACTGATTCTTCTCCCTGTTGTCTGGCCGTGACTCGAATTCCACCTGTGATTGTTTTTATTCTCATGAAGCTTATTAGCGGGTGAGTCGACAGTGAGGATGGGGAGTCAGTTAGGTATGATGGTACAGTATAGTAAGTGCGTGTTAACCTTGAGTTCCTGCATGCAAGCGCTTCATCCTTCGCCCACAGGTAGGTGTGTTTGTTGACTTTCCTTCACCTGTTCCTAAGTGTGTGTTTGGTATGTTTTAAGTTGGGTGTGGTTATAGGTTTCATTTGTTCAGTCTCCTCATATTGGTGCCAGAAATATTTCTGAGAAAACTTAAGGTCTTTGATAAATCTTGAATTTTTGATAAACACATTACAGGGCTTCAGATCCTTTTATATCACTTTTTATGTAGTTTCAGAGCTGAGGAAGAGACTGCCAGGCTCACTTACACTTTGTTGTGAGTTTATTATTGAGAAAACAATGACATTATTTTATTATCATACTCTTTCGTTATATAATAAACTCCATAAAGTGTTAACTATATTCGCAAATATTGTTTGTTTAAAAACTTATTCCTTAAGGTAAAAACAAAGAACTTATATGAGAAAGGATTATTACATGTTGGTGAAACGGCCCCGCGGCAGTTGTGTGAGTTGAAGGTTACTTAGCTACAGGTGAGACAGCAAGGTTAGGTGGGTAGTGGTAATTCCCAGCTATCAACATCACTAACGATGTGCGAGCTTGTGTTTCGTTCAGAATGTGAATATTATTTGTTTGTTTTTATGCATGTTTGTTTGTAGGTATAGTCTCCCAAAAAGGTATCATTAGCTATGAGGTCGATGTGATTCGAGGCTTTCCAAGCAATGTTACTCGACCTGTTTCTGAACGGTTGGTAGTTTAAATCCGCGACCCTCGGGCATAAATGAGTACGGTATATACATTTTCGAACAATGTAGATCCTCAGAGGCTTCAGATTATATATTACATGACTCGGAGTGGTGTCAACAAGCAGTTCTAGTTGAGAACCTCTGACTTAACTACAGGCAGGCAGCTCCACTAAACACTTGCAATATCGCTGCTGAGTAAACATCAACACGACACTAACTTCCAGTACATGAGACGTGAGGCAGCTAGCGTACACCAAGGTGAACTTCTTGTCTCGTAACTGTGTACATGGCACTTTCCCAAGACCCTTTATGACCTTGCCATTATGTGTATTTGTCTCCACTAAATATATATATATATATATATATATATATATATATATATATATATATATATATATATATATATATATATATACAATCAACCCGCCAGGATTAGAACCCACGGCCCACTAGCCTATGACTGTGACCGGGGAACGCTGATCGCTGGACCACCAAGATTCTAAAATTAGTCTTAGACTTTGTTATATTTCACACAAAGCCTGTTCAACGAGCTTATGGCGCCGTGAACCTCTAATGGGGACTACCCGTATCACGGAGAACATTCATTCAGATTACTATTAAGTATCGTAAGTTGGTCCCATATGCCTGGGTCTCTTAGGTCTGAGGTTCTGTTTGGAGTAATGTGGATACAGGACATCGATGGTTAAAGCCCTTAGTAAATAAGGACACACATTGACCGACTCCGTAGCAGGCCACCTAAGAAAGTAGACCGCACTTTATATTAGACCAAGAATATATTTTTTTTATCGACTGATCAAGGCCAAGGATAGGAAGAAACTATCAAACTCGTTTGCCGTTCGTTTTTTCATTTTACCTTAATCTCTAAAACCAAAGACAAAAGCAAGTCGGAGAGGTATCTGGTAATTATTACCTGAACCTTAACTTACGTTGAGTAAAAAAAAAAACATATATAGAGTAAACCGCGCTGGATTACTACCCACCGACACACTGCCACTTCCTTATACTAACATCGCTTGTCTTACGTCACACGCCTGTAGAGTGAACTGGGCGTCGAAACACTAAGCAATATTTTAGGGTAAAAATTACAAGACATTGAAGGACGTTTACCTCAAATTATGTGGAGCTCAACGTTTATCTGTATGGAAGTTCTGAAACATGGTAAGTGTTAGAAGTGACAACGAGACAGTAAGACATATTACACAACATGAAGGATATAACGCAGGTTGAACAATTACAACGACCTCGAGTAGAGCGAAATTAATGGCAAACGACGGAAGCTGTGAACCTGGTGACATTAAACATGATCCCACGATATGAGAAATATATAGGACACGCAACAGTGTAGGAATTCGTGTCAAGAAAGACAGTAAATGAAAATAAATGAAAGCTGTATCATCGAAGATATTACATATTACAAGATATATGGCAATGGACTTTTCACAATATAAAACAGGGAAAGACCCACGAACATATACTAACAGAGGGAAATAACAGCTATAGGCTAAGGCGAACGTCAATTACAAGACTCCAGGAAGCTTCACGGTGAACTCTAGATGCAACATTTGAGCCAGAGTGTCAGGGTCAGCGGGAAGACAACAAGGAGTGAGGTTTGACTAGTGGGAGTTACCTGATGTGTCCCGGGAGAGCCGCTAGTGTTGTGAGCAGGAAGACGCAGTATATTATAATCACCGTTTAAGCTTTAGTAACATGACTGATATACCTACGTTCAATAGGGTAGTAAAAAAAGGTCAAACTTAGTAGACTAATAAGCAAATACATTTACAGATAAGGTAGTTGGGAAGAGAGAACTTATGAGTTGAAATATTATACAGAACAGAGGCAGAGATACACAGGAAGCTTATTGTACCCTGTATTGAGGTCAGGGCACTTTACTCCCACGGAAATTTATAATATATAGACAAAATTTGGCATTATAGCACTGCGTCATAACCTGTGACACCATCTCATTATAAGTCGACATTCCATTAGATCACTTCGACAGACTTGTAGATGTTACACCGACAGATCACCAAAATGCACAGTCATATTAAATTATCCAGGACAATCAGACACATCAACAAACAGTGTCATACATTTAATCCAACAAGGTAGGTAACATCACGTTGAAGGACTTGGTATGAATATGGGTGTCTTACAGTATTCGAACCCATAAAGCTCTCAAACAGTCTTCTAGCAGTACGGCATTTTGTTTTCGATAATGTTACCGTGTATATATTGTAATATTATCAGTGTTATTAATATTTGCCCTATTGACTCATATTTTTATAAAATGCCTGTACAGACACACTTTGTCTGACTGTTATGAAGCGTGTCTCGAGTGTTGTTTCAATGATATTCCATTTTATGAAACTGATTCGGATTCGAATGATACTTAATTGTTTCGAGTTTTGAACCATTACTACCACTACTATTAATAATAATAATAATAATAATAATAATAATAATAATAATAATAATAATAATAATAATAATAATAATAATAATAATAATAATAATAATAATAATAATAAACATACATAAATTTTAGACGACAAAAAAGTTTCTGATGAATTATTTCGCGAATCATTCCACAGTTATTACTTTATTCCTGTCATGTAGATAATAATAGGAAAACAAGGAAGGAGGAGAAGGTGAGGCGAGAGATCCTGTTTTTGTATCTCCACAGGGAAGTCTCAAGGTTATGTTGGCTCTCTCTCTTTTCACAATATTTGTTTGTTGTGTTTCTGTCTTTGTCCACCAACCTCTTCCTTTGCCTTGTGTTCTTATCCTTATGTCGAACCCTCTTTGCTTATCCCTGTTGAGATTATGTTTTTTTTCTCCCTGTGTGTGTGTGTGTGTGTGTGTGTGTGTGTGTGTGTGTTACGCAGAGATAATTGCAACTGTCCATAGACGACCATGTAGATAATCACAATATATCTAAATGAATAGTTTCATACCTAACCTAACCTAACGTACTTAAGGTATTATTTGGCTGTCTTGTGAAAGTAAACGTCTTAAATGTATCAGAGGAAATTTTACAATATACGAATTCGTTTTTATTAAGCAGTAACGATACAAAAACGTCCCCATTTGATAAAAACGTCAGTCCCTTAATCGGCGATATCCCTAGACAGCGTGGCTGGTCCTGAAGCTCACGTTATAGGATGGATGATACTCTAAGAATTTCTTTAAGAAAAATGAGCAAAACTTCAACTGAGATATGCATTTCCTCAATGAAGTAAACGCAAAGGTGATTGCCCAAATATAATTAACGTAAATGAGAACACTTAAGCCATGTACAGTACACACTCATTTCAAAACTTTATGAATAGACATTGTTTTAAGACATTGACATCGCGTGAAGATTCCCTTATATGTTTCTTTTGTGTTTTGCATAATATATATTGTTGTTTCTCCACCTTGCTCTTCTCTTTTAATGGATCATTTGAGTTTTACAAACATGCATATTAAGCTCACCTTTTCTAATAGAAGCCAAACTAAATATAATTTTACATTACATAAGAACATAAGAATGGAGGAAACTGCAGCGGGCCTATTTGCCCATACTGGGCAGTCCCATTTACACCCAACCTCGAACCATATGTGCCGTCTCGAGATTAATAAAGATAAATTCAGCTCTCAGAAACTTACCTTGATGAAGTTGATCAGAGAAACGGTGTGTGTGGAGCAGGACTGATGTTCCTTCAATGGTGGGTAGGCGCGTCAGGACCCACCAGGTGAGGTACGGAGGGTGCAGAACCTCACGATGCCCCGCCCATTTGTCCTTCAGAGATCCCTTCCCTTTCCAACTACAGGAGCTACGTTAAGTTGGTGCCTGTACAACGCCAGAGTATTTCCTACTGAAAAAACCCGCCATCAAACTGAAAAAGTGGACAGACTCTCACCAACTCTTTTTTTTTTTTGCCTAATATTCTGGTTCAATGGGGTCAGGTTATAGAAGGTTAGGTTAGTGGGACAATGGGACATCCTCCTATAACATATGAGGCTAGAAGCTGGACACAGTGAAGGTGAAGGAAGTATTTTTAACTGATAATGCAAACTTCATGGTGAAACTTATACTACATGCCTGCCTACATACAGTACATGTCACCATCAACCATACGAACACCATGGTCATGTGGTTAATCTCTCCTCTAACCTCATTGCATTTCCCACTACCTAATTTAACTCCAACGCCCTTCAAATGGTGAAATCCGTCAAACTCCTCGGTAACATTATAGACAAGTTAACGTGTAAAGAACAGTATTATCGTGGTATCTTCCAGTTATCGTCTATCTGAACTAAAACTCCTATACACAACCTTCATACTTTCCAGACTGACCTTCACCTTCACTGTCTGGTTTTTTTCCAGACCTGCTACTTAACATGGGTCATTAAAACAGTGGTGCAACATCTATAGATATTTTGGTCTTTTCAGATTTTGAGTTTTTCACCCTAAATGGACCTAATCTACAAATTTTAGAAATAAAACGCAATGCATGTAGTGAGTGGTGAAGTAAAAAAACAAATAAAAACACACAAATTCCGATAAGATAACCTGAAAAAATTGGGAATACAAAAAGTCAAGTGAAGTGTATTACATACACCTCACTCCAGTAATAGTCTCCGCTATTAACAGAATGAAAACTAAATTCAGAAGCAGATTATCAACAGAGACTAATTAAAGACTTACTTTATATGAAGCAATTAATCAGGAGTAAATCTTACTGTAATTTTAATGCAACAAAATCATTATTAAATATCCACTTCATAAGAGCAAGATAACACTTAACATACACTACTCTACAACACCTGCGCTACTCTACAACACCTGCGCTACTCTACAACACCTGCGCTACTCTACAACACCTGCGCTACTCTACAACACCTGCACAAAAGGCGTTACAACACATGTGATGAATGATGTATAACGTTTGGTGTACGAGTATGATGTATCGAGCACAGGTTAAAGATTGTGATGTATAATTTATAATGCGTGATGTATAATTGTATATATTACGTATATTGCATGATGTATAATGATTAATGTGTAATGCATGGTGTATAATATATATTAATAAGTAATGTATGATTTTTGAAACATAAAATATAATATTTAAAGTAAAATATATATCATATAATGCATAAGGTATGATGCAGTATATATATAATGTTTCTAGGATACATAATGACTAACACATGATGCATAATTTGTGATATACAAACATATAAACTTATGGTAAATGATGTATGATGTATTACTATATACCCCGGGGAAAGGTTCCAACATTGAAGGACATAAATTGTTTGGGAAATTTATGCTCCAAAGTTGGCTGTTGTTGTCGACGTGTGTATTGTACTTTGGTGATAAATAATATATAGGTAATTGCTGCAAGGAAAAGAAACACTTAATTTATGATCCCAATTTATGTTGCTGACTCTTGCAGGTCAGATTTAGCTCTCCAGGTGAGGTCAGGCTTGGTGGAATGACATCTAAAACACGTATTGTTGTGTGTTGTTTGTTATATTTCACTTCATAGTGGCAGTGTAATGATGCTCAACAAAGAAGAATGTATCGGTAAAGTGATTCCAGCAAACATTTTTACCACGCACCTTCTAAAAGCAACTTGAAGCGTTTGTCCATTGGAGTTACCTATCAGTCGATTATAAATATCTCTTTATTATTTTGGGAAGCATTAACTATTTATTCTCCAGCATTTCCTTCATGATGATTTTCGCTTATTTATTAATACGTTAACGATAGAACTGTGGATTCGTCTGACCTTCGGCCATTGTCCTAGTTTTTTTGTTTTTGTTTGTATATGTATATTCCTCGATAAAGAAGCACACAGCAACATATGAGAGAAATAATTTAAAACTCTTGTAATAATCTAGCTGATATTTGTCGATAAAGTTTATTTGTCCATAAATTAATTTTGTAAGAGGAAAATACAAACGTTCCCAAATTTACTTTCTAAATCTATATTCCACCAAAGTGTGACTTACAGCAGTTGAGTATTAATGTTCAACAGACACAACAACGTACCACAGAATTCAAGGATAATATATATCTACTCTTTCCTGTTTTATCGTCATTTTCTAGTTAATGTTACAGCTACTGAGTGGTTGGTTCACTGTTTATACCATACAACATGTTAGTGTCAATGAAAAGAAAAGTCAATTTAAGGTACCGAAACTCCTTAAGTGCCTTTAAACTCCCAAAAAACAACAACAACCCTGTCAGTATTTAAGTATTACTTGTGTGAACAGATAGACGTCTCTCTCTCTCTCTCTCTCTCTCTCTCTCTCTCTCTCTCTCTCTCTCTCTCTCTCTCTCTCTCTCTCTCTCTCTCATAAATCCTGTGATATTATAAGTTAAGTTGTGTTGTGAAGTGTGTGTGACGCAGCTGGAGTTTCTGTGTTTACCCTTCCATAATACATTCTTCAGTGAGTTAGTGATCGACCAAGCCCCCACCCGTGCTATCCTCTCCAGCGCTCTCCCTCACCTCCTGTCCATCAACGGAGTCAATGTACTCCCCTCCCCTCCCCCATCTTAATATTCCTCCCCATGTAAGACCTCATCTCTATTCCTTTGTCTCCCCACGACCTTACCACCCTTCCTCGTCTCCCCGCCACCTACGCCTCCATCACAACCTCCCTCACTCGTTAAGCAGTGATGGTAGCAATATAGACTCACACGAGCATCATCAATAAGTTATACGACACCGGTCATAAAACTGTACTTCAATAAAGTATCTCTAACTGTATGTCTATATATAGTCTGCGCGGAACGTTAGTTAGTCTGTAGTTCTTCTTTATAGCTTCTCCATTAGCACCTTAAGCTACTGTATCCATCTACTCTAATTCTGTCAATACTCTACAGGTTGAAGTGACATATCACGTATGACTGAGTGGTGTATGAATTCTCTTGAATACTGTTAAGATATGTACTAATTGTTAAATATTTTAAAAAGAAAAAAAAAAGTAAGTTAGCAATGTAAAAATAATGCCAAACACAGAAGCTACTTTTAGTACATAAATATTCCTCGTAAGTTGAGTGGTTCATGACGCTCCTGGATGACACACGAGGGGGCGCTGGCGCAGGACTGTCAGGACAGTAGCCTGATCCACTTCTTCGGGGAAGGACGTACTCTTAGGCAGGTGGGTCCACACAGCTGGCCTAACGACCAGGAGTTCACCTGTGACGACTACGTGTTGAAGAGTGAGAAACAAGTATTAAGGTGAAAACGTGTCACTTAGATTTATACATGACTTTGCCACTGACTGGTTCACTCATTTGATGATGGAGTTAATTTATTAGTGACAAACTCACTAAAATTGACGGAAAAAAACCTTACATATTCACTGACCTAACCACACTGCCTCTGATGGGCCGTTTGATCAATGGGACCCACTTTCACTATAAATACTGATGATGCAGAATGAGCTTGACAACTAAGGAAAATGTATAGAAAACTAATAAGGACCAAACCTGATTCATCAGCGTATGTAGGTGTTGTTCCAGAAGCGTACTGTACATGTGCTGCTCTTATCATATTCCGGACATTACATAAAATTGTCCAAACATTTGACAAACTCTCTGGTAATTATAATTTTTACTATTCCTGAGTCTGATGCCACTGATTATGTATGTAGTCATTGCAAGTACAGCACATACCTGGAGACAAGGCGAGCGACAGAGAAAAACTGAGGTCAGTTAGTTTTCCTTTATTCACTGACAAGTGAAGAGTTCAAGAACTTCATAGGAAATTCGCTCATGAAATTCTATATGAACTGCAGCTTACAAAGGTGGATTTAATGTGACGAGGACGATAGCTATAGACGGTCTGTCAGCTCTGTTAACATAATGCTAAGCAAGGTGACGTACTGTACGTTGTAATGAACAGACCACCAGGAAGGCGACTGAGAGATGGTGGGTGCCACAAACACCTGTTTACCACGACTAACACCATCTTCGCCTCCTGCTATAGACACTAATGGATTGATTTTTAAAGTACTGTACATAATTTGTCGCTGGCACTTAATTCATTTCTTATGTTAGGTACCTAAAAGACTGTGAATAATTACAGTACTTACGACATAAACAAACATCTTCTCCCCGAAATACAGAACCTTTTATTTGAAATTCATGGTTCTTTTCGGTGCTCAGGTGTGGTAAAATATTTCACAGAAATACTCTGTAACTGTGTACAGTCGACACTAAGTGTCCATTTATACAAAATGTTTTTATTGTTTTCTGTACTGAGTTAGTACAGTTTGAACTGCACCATAGTGACCCTTCACTTTCACTTCATTTAATATGATAATAATGATATTACTATGATGATGATGATGAATTTTAAAGTGATAATAAAGAAAAACAAGCAGGTAAATGATATGACTAAATAAACGTATTTGGAACTTTAAGAAAAATTAATATGAAGGAATATGAAAAAAAAAGTGATGGACACAAACCACAGAGCACTACTGTGCTTTATCTACGAGAAAAAACAGGCGCTGGAATGACGATGGAATGTAAACGACAACAATAAATGAAAAGTAGTAACACGCGGTTAGTTCCAGGTAAAGATATACACAATAGGAAAAAGCTAAAGATAGTTTTATTAATTTACAAGAAAGGACGTAGCTTTGGGTCATGTCTGTTATCATCGAATCGAAAATCCATCATCCCCATGAAGATTGACGACAAGAAACCCAGCTGATAAATTTGTCTCACGCTGTACTTGTAAGGTGTCAT